ATCTCCGATGATGATGAAGGCAATGGGACGTTGCTAGATAACTACTTTGGCGGTGCCACGGAGATCAGCTTTAGGACGTTGACGGCAAAGATGGAGTCAATTTAGCCAAAAAAGAGAGGAGCTCGCGATGATCCTCTCAAGCTTGCATGTGCTTTCTATGTGCAGTGTGTTTTACTACCACGGAACAAGAAATCAAATATGAATTCACAGTTTCTGAAATTAGCTGACGACTTGGACAAATCATTGGATGTGAGAGATGTCATCTCATCATCCATTGCAAGTTTCCATTTGCCCTTGTCATCAACCCGAACTGCCTCTGCATAGGACTTCGGTTCACCACCATCAGTAAGCAACAAATAGAAATTAGAGGGTGAATACCTATTTGGTGCTCTCCAGTTTCTTGTAGGGCGCTGCCTTGGCGGGGTTGATGGATCCTCGTCACTGCTCAACTCTTCATTCTGATCCTGCTTGCTCCCACCCAAATTAGAGATATCCAACTCTATGATCTTCGGACTTTCTTGCTCAAAATCAGATGCACTCAATTTGTCCTTGTACATAACCTGCTCGTTGAACACCACATCTCGACTACGAATAATCTTCCTATTCTGATCATCCCAGAATCTGTATCCATAGTCATCACCACCATAGCCAACGAATGTACACTTGACAGATTTAGCGTCTAGCTTGCTTCAGTCAACAGAACTGATATGAACATAAGCAACCCAACCAAATATGCGGAGATAGGACAAATTAACCTCCTTACCCGTCCACCTTTCTTCAGGAATGTCATTCTCCAATGAGATCGTTAGACTTCTGTTGATGAGAAAAGCCGCGGTGTTCACTGCATCCGCCCAAAACATCTTCGGTAAGTCACTCTTTAACCTCATGCATCTTGCCCGCTCATTCAGTGTTCTGTTCATGCGTTCAGCAACGCCATTACGCTGCGGAGTCCCCTTAGTTGTCTTCTCCATACGAACCCCATTCTCAGCACAAAAATTCTTGAACTCATGCAGTGCATACTCACCTCTATTATCTGACCGAAGGCACTTCAACTTCAGACCTGTCTCTGTCTCAACACGAGCTTTCCAGTTCTTGAAAGCATCAAAGGCATCAGATTTATTTTTGATAAAATAAACTCATACCTTTCTTGTGGCATCATCAGTGAAGGTCATGTAGTAAGCAGACCCTCCTAAGGATGTAACTTCTGCAGGTCCCCAAAGGTCGGTGTGAACTAGTTCCAACCTCTCCGATTTGATAGCTTGATTTCCCTTTGAGAAGCTGACATGTTTCTGCTTCCCGAATATGCAGTCCTCGCATAAGCCAACCTCAACAGTCTTCAGGCCGAGCAGTTTGCCCTTCGAGCACAACTCCTTCATCCCCTTTTAGCTGAACCGACAGTGCCATAAATTCACATCGTTTGTTGCAGTGGCAGCAACATCGATGCAGTCCTTTGAGTTCGTTGTCATGTACAACGTACCCTCCTTCTTCCCTTTAGCAACCCGCAAGGCTCCCTTGGTGATCTTTCGATTTCTGCTGCCGAATGTAACTGCATAACCTTCCTCATCCAGCTGCCCAATTGAAAGAAGATTCCTCCTCAAACCAGGAATGTGTTGGACGCCATTCAGTTTCAGCATGCATCCGTTCGGAGTCTTCACGTGGTCTGTCCCCTTCCCGACAATTTTAAGACGTTCATCATCAGCAAGATACACCTCTCCAAAATTGCCAGCAGTATATTGTTCCATCACTTCAGAATTACCACATGAATGGAACGAGGCTCCAGAATCCAGAACTCATGACTCCAACGGACTGCTCACGCTTAGGATCAGGGGATCATCACCTGATGATTCTGCCGCTGCATTGGCAGATGTCTTCTCCTTCTGATCCTTGATCTGCTCCTTGCACTGGCTCTTGAAGTGTCCGTACTCATCACAATTCCAGCACTTAATCTGACTTCTGTCCTTCTTGCCCTTGTTGTCTGACTTAGATTTGGATCTTGATCTATCTCGATTAGACTTGGACTTCGACTTCGTTCTGCCCCGGTTCTCTGTACTCAACGCCGATCCAGAAGCCAGGCCTGATTCCTTCCTGCGGATTTCTTCGCTGACCACCAGATTTCTGACTTCATCGAATTTCAATCTCTCTTTCCCTGCCGAAGCGCTGACTGCAGTCACTGTTCCGTTCCAGCTTTCTGGGAGAGAAGACAGCAGAATAAGGGCGAGAATTTCGTCTTCGAATTTTATCTCAACCGCGCTCAACTGTGTGGTGACCACATTGAACTCGTTGAGATGATCCACCACTCCCGTACCTTCTGACATCTTCAGGTAAAAAAGACGCCTCATCAGATGAACTTTGTTCACGGCGGAAGGTTTCTCGTACATATCTGACAAAAACTGCAACATCTCCTTCGTCGTTTTTGCTTTGACGGTATGTAGGGCGATGTTTCTGGACAGCGATAATCGAACCCCGCTCATCGCTTTTCTGTCCAGCAACTTCCAATCGCTCTCCTTCAGTCTTCCGGCTTATCAGCCACAAGTTGATACAGATCTTTACTGTACAGGTAATCTTCGATCTGCAACTTCCAGAATCCGTAATCCGTTCTGTCAAACTGCATCACCGGTGTCTTCAAATTGTCTGCCATCGTGAGATCTCCCTTTGAACCTAGGGCTCTGATGCCAATTGTTAGGAATTTAATTTATGCACACGAAAAAACAATAATGAAGAACACACGAAATTTGGTAACCCAGTTCGTCACGAATGACTACGTCTGGGGGCGCTACCAAGCCAGGAATATTATTGCTATTTTCGGATCCACACACAATGATTACAATGGAGAGAGCTTGTATTTATAGAGAAGTAAATCTTAACCCCAAGGCAACTAGGATGTGTTTTCTAAAATAAATTAAGAAACGTGTTTCCAAAAATAAATTAAGAAACTGTCTCTAACACCTTACAGATTATACACAAAGCTTAATCGGCGGAGCATCCATTTGTTGAGTTTAGTTTTATGCGACGACAAGGTGAGATCTTATTTGGGTCATCTAGGCATCTTGGTTGTGAATAAGGGAGGAGGACAAATACAAAAATTCACATGAGTATGGATATTTTGAATTGTTGTTCTGGATTCTCTAGTCCCCTGACAGGGAAAGAAGAGATGACACTGGCGGTGACGAGCTAGATTAGGACAACAATGACAGAAAAACAGGAGGCTTTGGATAACAGGTTTGCCGGGAAAATTGAAGACTTGCTGCACGAGTTGGCAACTTTATTTCGTTTTCAGTTTTATTCTTAGTCTAGGCCATTTTTTATGATTGTTTTGTTTTTAATATCATTAATCAAGACATTAATTAGGATTCAATTTACTTTCGTTGTGAACGGGAGTGATGCTTTGAGGAGCAATCATTCCCTTTTGATTATTATAGGCTTCAAGTTACCTGAATTGTGTTTAGCGAATTATACAAATAATTCTATGTCTAAACCCTAATTCTATATTTCTATGCCTAAACCCAAGGCTGATGACCAAATTGGATATTTCATGAGTTTTTGATATAAGGCTCAAATTGGACACTATGATTTTATGAAAATCTCATATTGGACATTAAGGTTTCAAATGGACCAAGTTGGACAATATGGTTACATATTTATCTCATATTGGACACTAGAGTTTCATAATTCATAGTTTTTGGACACTCACTTATGATTCTCGATCTTCTTCCTTTAATAAAAATTATGTGTATTTCCTTTCCTTTTTGGTGAAAATAAACTAATTTAATTATGTGTATAATTTTGGAATATTTAATTTGAAGTTTTAGAATATATATTTTGATTTTAATTAATAACTTCTTATAGTTAACAATTTAAAAATATATTAATGACTTTTCATTCTTATGATTTTTATGGAACTTTAAGAAATATCGATTTGTTAAATTGATTTAACAATATTAAAGAATTCAATTACATTATAATAGAATTTCTTAATTGGAACTTCTAATTATATATTCTAAATCTAAGTACACGAATTAAGTTATTTTTAGTTTTTAGGTACATAAAACCAAGAGAAAGAGGAATACTTAAAGCTTTGAAGATGAAATTCTTTTGTAGGTGTCCAAAAATGATCAGAAAGACGTAAAATTTGATTCATTTGAAACTTTAGTGTCCAATATGAGATACACAAGTAACCATAGTATCCAATTTGATCCATTTGAAACCTTAAAGTCCAATATGAGATTCTCATATAATCATAGTGTCCAATTTGACCTTTATCCCTACATTAAGTTAAGCCTTTTCTATTCAAAAAGGAAAGGAGAAAAGAAAACAACATTGATAATATTGTATTTTGGTACCTTAACTCTTAAATGAATCAAAACGGTACCTTAACTATACATAAATGTTTCAAATTGAAATTTTATTCAAGGGAAAATCACATTTTTAGTCCCTTAATCAGTCACCAAAATGAAATGTTAGACTCGTATTTTTGAGATTGTAAATATCACCCCTCAATTGTCCAAAATGCTGTAAGTGTGGTCCTTTAAGTGGTGAAATGTACTCTCGCCCACATTGTATATTTCACCCATCAAAAGACCACATTTACAACATTTTGGACAATTGAAGGACGACATTTACAAACTTGGGAACGCGGGTCGGACATTTCAATTTCGTGATTATTTCAGGGACTAAAAGTGCGATTTTCCCTTTGTTCAAATTTTTAACAAAAAAGTCATTCAAATTTCATGTGTAGAGCCACACTATAGCGATCATATGAACAAAAATAAGGTGAAGTAGATTTTACGCATAGAATTCTGACCGTCATGTGTAATTTTTTGGACGGAAATTTGAATAAAATCTCAATTCGAAATACTTATATATAGTTAAGATACCGTATTGATTCATTTAAGAGTTTAGGTACTAAAATGTAACATGACAAATAATTGATGTACCATTTATGCATTTAACCATATTTCTATTATTATCCCCCAATTAAATACCCTCCAAACCCACATCTCTAAAAGTGCCTTTTAATTCCCGTTACTGGCCACCCTCTGTTTCTTCTTCTTCACTGGATCGAGGGGTGGAGCTGTACTGCTCGGAAGCAATAGATTGATACAGTTAATAATACCCTTCAATGGACGCTATAAAGAAGCAAGCAGCCAAGCTCAGAGAGCAAGTGGCCAAGCAGCAACAGGTATGCACAGTTCATTACTTTCGCAGTACAAATTCATCTTTTTAAAGTTTTTTAATCGAAGTTCCTTTCGTCTTAGTTTTGATATGATTCCGCAAACCCCCTTTATAGATTTCGGCTGTTCGGTAAAATCCTTAAAAGGATCAGCTTAAGTCAGGGCTATTTATAAATTAATTCAAATTTATTTAGAAGACCGGGTAAAATCCTTAAAAGGATCAGCTTTAGTTAGGGCTAATATAAATTTATAGTCATATATATCAGGGCTAGCTCAATAGATTAGGAGACCCGGTGCAAATCAACCTTAACAAACCAAAAAAACTACAACCAAATGTGAGATTGATAGATGATCATGTTGTTGAACTTGAACAAATAAAATCAGTAAAAAAAATCTAAAATCGGAAATAAACGAATCAAAATAGGATAAGAAAAGTGAATATTTTAACTTTGGTTGGATGACCTGAATAGTTAGACCATTCGAGCAAATCAAGTAATCAACTATTTTTGAAAAGAATCCCTGATAGAATAACCCTGATGTGTATTGCATGTGAGAAGTGGAGAAAGAAAATTTGGTAAATCGTGCAAATGCCGAGTTACCAACTTGTGATGGAAATTAGAAGGATTATTTAACTTTCATTTTTCATTTAATTTAATATAGAAATTGGAAGGGTTCTTTAATTATCTGTTTGCTTTTGTTTCAGTTGGGCCGTTCGGTCCCTTACATTTAAAGGTGTTTCCAATTAAAATCCAAATGTCTCTTATTATTAATATATACTTATCAACAACATCCAACTATCCAAGCCTTAATCCCAAAAAATTTTGGGGTCGACTAACATGAATCGATCCATTATATCGATGCCAAAAAGAGAAGACAGACAAGAAGAGAAAAAAGGGATAAAACGAATAAGATATAGATAAATAAATATAAGATACTAATAACATAAGAATATAAGAAAAGATAAAAAAGTAAAAGATAAAAGAACATAAAAAAGATAGAAGATAAAAATAACATAAGAATATAAAAAGACAAAGCAGATAAACGATAAAAGAAAAAGACAGAGGAAAAATAGAAAAGAGATCAATTATGCACACAAATATGCGCCCTCCACTTTGCCCTCTCCAAAGTCATACTCTCATCCAACCCAAGAAGACGCATATGAGTTCTGATTCCTCTAATCCAAGTCTGTTTGGGTCTTCCCCTCCCTCTCCTCTCTGTCTCTTCTTCCCACCCCTCAAGTCGTCTAATAAGTGCATCACTTGGTCTTCTATGCACATGCCCAAACCACCTCAAACGAGACTCCTGCATCTTATCTTCTATAGGTGTTACTCCCACATTTTGTCTGATTATCTCATTCCTCAAGCAGTCTTTTCTGGTATGGCCACACATCCAACGCAACATACAACTCTCTGCCACACTCATCTTTTGAATGTGACATTGTTTTACCGCCCACCACTCTACGCCATACATTAATGCAAACCTAATTGTTGTTCGATAAAATTTACCTTCCAGTTTAGTCGGCATACCTTGATCGCATAGAAATCTTGATGCACTCTTCCATTTCATCCACCCATCTATGATTCTATGGGATACATCTCCATCTAATTCACCATCCTTCTGAATTATGGAGCCCAAGTAACGAAACATCACACACTGGTATCTCCTTACCATCAAGAGTAATCCCACGGTTTCTTTTACTACTACCTCCACCAAACTTGCACTCCATATACCCAGTCTTACTTCGGCTCAGTCTGAAACCCTTGGTCTCCAATGTTTGTCGCCATACTTCCAACTTTGCTTTAACACCCAATTGTGTCTCATCAATCAATACAATATCGTCGGCAAACATCATGCACCACAGTATATCTTCTTGGATTGACTTCGTAAGTGCATCCATGAGACCATGACTATAACAAATAAGAAAGGACTCAGAGCCGATCCTTGGTGCACTCCGATAGTAATAGGGAAGTCTGCGATCCTCCCTACACTAGTACGGACATTCGTACTATAAGCCTCATACATATCCATGATGATACTGATATACTTACGTGATATGCCTTTTCTAGTTAAGGCCCACCAAAGGACTTCTCGAGGTACCCCATCATATGTCTTTTCTAAGTCAATGAACATCAAATGCAGATCCTTTTTAGTGTCTCTATACTTCTCCACAACTTGTCTAAGAAGGTGAATGACCTCAGTTGTCGAGTGTCCAGGCATAAAACCATACTGATTCTCCGAAATTTTCACACTGTTTCGAAGTCTTTGCTCAACCACTCGCTCCCAAAGTTTCATGGTGTGACTCATAAGCTTAATCCCTCGATAGTTGGCACATTCTTGTTCATCACCCTTATTTTTAAATAGGGGAATGCGAGTACTCTTCTGCCAATTCATTGACATTTTGTTGTTTCTCCTAATCATGTTGAAGAAGCGTGTTAGCCGCTCAATGCCTTTCTCTCTCAAACTTCTCCTAGCCTCGATCGGTACGCCATCTGGGCCTATGCTTTCTTCCGCCCCATCTTTCTCATAGCCTCTTTAACTTATGTCATTTGGATCCTTCTCACAAAGTCCCGATTTACCATACACTCTGGTATAGTAAGATCATAAATACCTTGCAGCCAATGTCTTAAAAGGCACTAGGCGCTAGTCGGGTGCCTGCCCAGCGCCTAGCGCCTAGGCGGCTAGGCGGGGATTAGTCGGGGACTAGTCGGAAACATAGAAATTATAGTTTTATCAATACATTTGCATAAATATGATAAGTAATGTTGTGTTTGTGTGTGTATAAAAACTATACACACACATACACATTAACATGCATGAATGATAGAGATGTAACATTAAACATGTATAATCCACAACAACTAACTTTCTTCATAATCATAGAATCTAGATGTCTAGTCGGTCGATTAAGCGCTCTAGGCGGGCAACTAGGCACCCAAGCGAACTGACTAATTGACCTAGGCACCAAATCAATTAGTCGGAGCGCTTAGACTAAAATCGGGACTGTCGGCCACCGCCTAGTGCCTAGGCGGGGACTAATCGGGTGCCTAGAACGATTTTTAGAGCAATTCCTTGCACTTTATTCTCGTTGAACAAGGTATCAAAGTATGACCTCCACCTCTCTTTTATTTCCTCATCCTCCATTAGTACCCTTTGATCGACATCCTTCACACACTTAACTTTTCCGATATCTTGAGTCCTACGGTCACGAAGGCGAGCAAGTCTATAAATATCTTTTTCTCCTTCCTTAGAGTTCAATTTTGCATACAATTCCTTGTTCACTTTTCCTCTTGCTTCTTTTATAGCTTTCTTTGCTCTTCTTCTAGCCTCCTTGTACTCCTCTATGGTCACGAAGGCAAGCAAGTCTATAAATATCTTTTTCTCCTTCCTTAGAGTCCAAATATGAAATTTTCTTTTTAACAAGTTTTACTCTTCAACTACTGAACAAGGAGTATCAGTTTTTAAAGATGAATGATATGAATTGCAATGTCGTCGGCTTGGCTTTTGTAGTTGCTTCCAATACATGTATAATAATTTTTTTTAAAAAACAATTGACCGTTTAAAGAGGTGTTTGGACAGGCAAATGGAATTTAAATTTCAAAAGGTATAAGATAGTTACATAAACAAGTGGTAAAAGTTGAATTGAATTTTACGGCCACCTTGGGTATGAAAAGACGGTGCATTTAATTTCATATATATGATCCAAGCATCTGATTAAAGTAACTCAAATTAAAGTTGTTGTTCATCTTGTAAATATACTACTATCTTTACCAGTGCCGTGTACGGGATAAAATGATTTTGTTGTTTAGTTTTACTAACGGAAAATCAGTTATTTAGTCAATTATAACATTGATTTAAAATGCATATTCTAATTTATTGAATATGCCTTATGTTTAAATTAATTATCTAAACATGTTTTCAGTCTATATTTTTCAATGAAAAATGACATTTTTTTAAAACTTACAATTGCATCCAATTGAAATTAATCTATTTTTATCTAAACAAAAGCAAATTGCTCAATGTCTATTTTTATCCATTAAATTTCAATCGTGACTTACTGTTTTTTTAAACTAACTACACATTTTGTAACTTATTTATCTAAAAATGGGTGTAGTCCGTTTGTTTTAAAGATATTAGCCCTTGTAAGCTTTAGAAATTTTCAAATTTGTCTTTTGATCTCTTTCTTTAAGAAAAGATTTTAGAATGTAAAGTTTTGTGACATTCTGATTTTACTGAAGGTGATGACGGCGACAATAGACTGCATATTGTGATTGGCGGTGATCACATTATTATTCGTTAGATCGAGTTATTGAAAGTATATGTGATCTTATTAAGTAAAATAGTTACTCCCTTCGTCCCCCTAACCACTAATAATGATGATAATAATAAGGATAATAATAACGTTAATAATAACAATGAGAACAAGAACAAGAACAATAATAATAATAATTATTATTATTATAATAATTATTATTATTAAAGTAATAAATCATGTTTGAACTTTTCTTATCTGATCTGAACTTTTTTTTATCTAATCTGAATCTTTCTGATCTGAATGTTTCTGATCTTAATCTTTATGATCTGATCCGATCTGAATCTTTATGATCTCATCTAAATCTTTCTGATCTGATCTGAATAAAATAAGAATAAACAATAAGTAATAAGAATAAGACGAACAAAACAGCTTCCAAGTCTTCATCACAATATTGCATGGGTTGCTCAACTCTGCTGTACAAAACATAAAAAAGAATGGGGTGATGTTTTGATGGTTTATAAAGAAAAGAGATTCAAGTGTTAAAATTTATTCAACATTTGAAATTGACTTTCTATGGTCTATCTACAGTGAAATTAAATTGGTAACCTGATCTAACAGTTCATATTAATACATGATACTAATGAACTAAAAATATGAACTTAATCTTTGGTTAAAAACTGAAGTTGTTCTTACCAAATCTCTTCAGGCACGCGTGATGATATCTTCTCCCTTTGTAAACTTATATCAAAATATAGACTAAGGCATCCAAATGACTCTACACCTAGTTCTATGAGTCTGAATTTTCTCTTTGGCTAGACAATTCTGAGGCACTTGGGTCAGCTGGGGCATGAAGCTTTGATGGTAGATGAGTCTGAACTACAGTGTCACCAACAACTTGAGAATTTATACAGATCCACTAGGGATGCAAAGGTAAGTAAGTAAGTTTACTTAGGGCTAGTGTTTTTTTCTCTTCTAATTTTTATCTCATAAATAGTGTATGTCTGTATGCTGGTACTTACATTACAGCTATATTGTTTTGTTCCAACAGCATTTTCAGAGGGATATAGTTCGAGGCATAGAAGGATATATATCGACAAACAAAAAACAAATGCATATAGGTGTGCGGATTTGTTTACTTTATGCTATATCATACCTTGTGAGTTTCATTCTTCTAACTTTTCAGGACTTTCAATGGGGAAATTATCAAATATAGGAGTTAATCAAGCTGGATTAATTATCATTTTGGGATTAACAGATAATTAGGACTAATTGTTTTTGGATTCCTTATTAAGGATCTCTTTATTTAGTACTTCGTAAAATATTATAATTAGTTCTTCTCCTCATAAGAAAAGAATCAACTGTTGGCTGGGGCCAAAAGATGCATTCTTTGAAACTCTTTTATTACTTTGTTCTATTTAATAAGTTGACTTTATTTTCACGAGCCTCTTTACTCTATCAATTGGATTCCACATTTAGATTCATTATGGCTGTGTTTGCTACAATGGCGGATCTAACACCTGAGTTTTGGGTGTTTGAAATTATTTTACAATTAAAATTTTGAATAATAATACTTCGTATTTTTTTTTATCAAATAATACTACACAAATCTTTTCAACAACAAAATAGGTAATTGAAGCTAAAATCAAGAAAATCTGTATTAAGTAAAGTAAAATAATTTATTAAATCAACTCTAAACATGCATTTTTGCACTTCTACTTTAAAGTTTTGGGTATTCTCATGAACACCTTTAAACATATATAGGTCCTCCACTGATGTTAGCATTTCAAATTTGAATTATGTGTGTAGTTAGAAAGCTGGCTGAGGATTCTTGCAATTATGGGATTGAATGTGCTTGTAATGCTCCTCTTGCAATGGCCACTTCTAACTTTGGCGCCTCACATACTGTGATTCAAGACCAAAAGGAAACTTTACTTGGAATTCTTGGACAGCAGGTCTTTTATCTCCTCTTTGCAATGTTACTTCCAATTGCCACAATTAGCAACTAGCAGCATAAGGGTTTACTTTATACTTTCACAGGAGAAAAGAGCTTCATTCTTAAACATCAAACTCCTGAAATCTGAATTCCTTTCTTGCATTGTATTACACTGAATAATAATAACAATAATAATAGTAACAATAATAATAATAATAAGAGATAAGGGTCAGATAGGGCTTCGAACTTGAAAAAAAATGTCAAATAAGGCCATATTTAGGATGCTCTGTCCAGCCGACGCCATTTGGGGCGGTTCCTAATAGAATTTTTTGATGAAATTTTTTGAGAATCTTATTCATTAAGTCTAGTTTACTCATATCAAATTTGAACTAAAACTTCAATCGGGAAGGCATTCAAATGAATTCTTGAAGATAACTGTGCAGTTAAAAGCGTAGTTATCTTCAAGAATTCATTTGAATGTCTTCCCGATTGAACTGTTAGTTCAAATTTGATATGAGTAAACTAGACTTAATGAATAAGATTCTCAAAAAAAATCATCAAAAAATTTCACCGGGAACCGCCCCAAATGGCGTCAACCGGACATAGCATCCTAAATATGGCCTTATTTGACATTTTTTCCCAAGTTCGAGGCCCTATCTGACCCTTATCCCTAATAATAATCTACCAAATAGGTTTCAGAGCCAATTCGTGCATCAATAAGTGGTGCTCCTTTAGAAGATGCTCGTCATTTGATTCGCCGTTATGATAGGATGCGCCAGGAACTTGAATCCCAGGTAATATATGCTCTCAGCCAAAGAACCGTCTTTGTGAGGGATCATAAATTTAGATCCAGTTTGGTAATTCCTAAAATGGATGAAGTGGATACTGGATACATTTACTGAAGCTGTGATTCAATCTATTGAAATGCCCAAAAAATTAGATTATATATTTTTAAAATAAATCAATGAAATTATTTCTTAAAGTGAAGGTTAAAGGTCATTTTATTGACTTCTGTCATTTAGGAAAAAAGAAACTCATACAGTACCATTTTTCAATATTAGCTGATTTGGCCCAGTGAAATTAGTGTGTTTTTGGAGAAAGATGTGCTTATAAGCCGAATATGGGCATACCAAACGGGCTCTTAGTATGTATCTTTCTGATATGATACCCCCATTTTTCTCTCTCAGGCTGCTGAAGTAATAAGACGACAATCAAAGTTCAGAGATGCTTCTTCTGAGAGTTTAGGGAAGCTTAAGGATGCTGAAAGAAGGTTGAGTGAGCTTAAAACCTCCATGTTGGTTCTTGGGAAGGAAGCAGCTAAGGCCATGCTTGCTGTAGAGGAGCAGCAGCAGCAGATAACTTACCATAAGCTACTCAAAATGGTATTTTTTGTTTGTTTTAGAAGTGTTAATGTGCAGTATGTGAAGCTTTTTGTGATTTCTTAATTCTTATTGATAGAGCATATATGAAAACAAGAAAAATCCTATATTTATAGGACATTAGTTCTAAGAGAAGAGGCATATGAGAAGTGTCTGTCCAAAAATTCTAGGTGACTTTTAGACACTGAACAAACTTAATCACTTATAAACTGAGCATAAACTAGTGATAATATTAATTACAAACTAAGTAGACACTTAAAGAATTAAGACTCATAATTACGAAGATAAAAAAAAATATTTCCTAGAGTATTGATGTCTCTTTGGTATGGATCTGGATACATCAACACTCCCTCTCCCCAACGTAGATATCCTTCATGCTTGGCTTGATGATAAGACCCTGAAATCTAGAACCGTGAAGAGGCTTGGTAAACGTAGATATCCTTCTCTTTCGACGACGTGCCGGTTAATCTCTATATGGTTAGTACAATCATGCTGGATGGGGTTATGGGCTATGTTTATTGTTAATTTGTTATCACACCCCAACTCCATTGGTCTTATCCATCTAATTCATAATCAAAGAGAATAATCGTGATATATAAAAGTTCACGCAGGTAATGGGAAAGTGCTTTTAGCTTAAATTCAACAAATGGTCGTGCCACAAAAACTAGTAGTTGATCGGCAGTAAACGAAGGGCCACCATAATCTGTGTTGAAATAGAGCATATAAACTAAGATATAATATTGGAGAGGAAATGATTTTCTGTATTTTGATTGAAGGGTTAAGGCTCTATATATATAGATTACAAAGATGGAATATTCCTATATAAGATTCTATGCACTAATAATACCTAGAGTATATTCCTAAAGCATATTCTTATAATTATTATAATATCTTTCACACTTCCTCTCAAGTTGGAGCATTGATATTTATCATGCCCAACTTGTTACATAAGTAATCAACTTGGATCCCATTTAAAGTTTTAGTCTTTTTGTATCTTCTCTCGAATAAAATGACAATCAACCTCAATAAAATACTGGATTGTTTGCTATGTGTGTAGCAGCTTGGTTATCGCACCGCAACTTAGCAGACATTGGTTTATCCAGATTATCTCACATGCCGAATGTGTCATAACACAATATTCTGATTCAACACTAGAACGAGAAACCACATTCTGCTTCTTACTTTTCCAGGAGACTAGGTTATCACCAACGAAGACGCAATAGCCATATGTAGATCTACTATCATCTTTAGATCCAGCCCAGTCAGCATCTGCAAAGCATTCTATTCTTGTGTGATCATGTTTTTGATAAACAATATACCTCATCCCGGAGTCCCCTTCAAGTAACTTAATACTCCCTCCGTCTTCGAAAAAAGTTCCCACTTTTCTTATTTGGATGTCCCTAATTTAAGTTCCCATTTCCTTAAATGGAAAGTTATCTACATCTAAACAGTGCAAAACAGTGTCAAACAGTGCCAAACAGTGTCAAAACAGTAAATTTTACCCCTGATAAGTTTACTTACATAAAAGTGTGTGAAAGTCAAATGAGGAACTTCTTTCGGGGGACGGAGGGAGTATATGTTCTACAACATTCCAATGATCAACCGTCGGAGATGACATATATTGACTCACTATACTCACTACTCACTGAGTACACAATATCTGGACGAGTAACTGCAAGATAATTAAGCTTTTCAACCAATCTTCTATGTCTTTTCAGATCTTCGAATGACATGCCTTCTTGAGTGAGTTACACATTGGGAATCATGGGAGTATTGCTCGATTTTGCCCCTATTTTCCATGTTTCAGCTAGCAAGTCAAGTACATATATACGTTGAGATAGAAAATTGTCTTTCTTACTCCGTGTTACCTCAATCCCCAAGAAGTATTTTAGTGAGCCAAGATCTTTTGTTTGAAATTGACTGTGAAGAAAATTCTTAAGGGCCAAAATACTTGCATTATCACTCCTTGTAATCACAATATCATCGACATACACCACCAACAATGTGATACCTACTTTCGTTCGTCTGTAAAAGACAAAATGATCTTATTGACCTTTTATCATTTCAATCGTTCAAATGATTGATTGAATTTTCCAAACCATGCACGGAGGCTTTGTTTCAGACCATAAAGAGACTCACGAAGTTGACAAACTTTCCCATATGCCCTCGAGCAACAAATCCCGGAGGTTGCTCGATATAAACTTCATCTTGAAGGTCACCATGCAAGAATGCATTTTAATGTCTAGTTGATGCAAGTGCCAACCATGAGTTGCGGCAAGTGAAGTAAGTAACCTGACAGATGTTAATTTAGCAATAGGAGAAAAAGTGTCAGAATAATCAACACCATAGGTTTGAGCATAACCCTTCGCAACTAATCGAGCTTTCAACTCAGCAACAGATCCGTCTGAGTTAACCTTAACATCAAAGACCCACTTACATTCAATAGACTTCTTCCCTATAGGCAAGTCTACCAAATTCCAAGTACCATTAAGATCCAAATCATTCATTTCCTGTACCATGGCATGGCTCCATGTAGGATAAGACAAGCTTCTTCAACAAATTTGGGAACAGAAACAGAATCAATGGAAGTAATAAAAGAACACGAGGTAGGGGATAACTGATTATATGACACAAATGAAAAAAATAGGATGAGTACAAGACCGTGTACCTTTACGTAGTGCCATCGGGAGGTCAAGATCTGATGTAGAGACAAGATCTAAAGATGCAGGTACTGCTTCAGGACATGAGGTCGAGGTCGGACCAGTATCAGGATATGTAATCACGGGTGTCACAGGTGGAGGGTGATCTGGTGCTTTGTGTCGACGCGTGTATACCAAGTGTATTGGAGGCTTAGGGTCAGGAACAGTAACTTGTGGAATAATTGTAGAAGATGTGGACTCAAAGTATAGTCATCGTGTAAATGAGTCTATCATCATTATTCTCATGAATACCTGCCTTACATGATGAAAAGGGTTTATTTTCATGAAATGATGCATCAATAGAAACAAGATACCGACCTGTACTTGGACAAAAACATCTATACCCCTTTTGAACTCAAGAATAACCTAAGAAAATACATTTTAATGAATTGGGATCTAGCTTTGTAAGATGAAGATTAACATCTCTAACAAAATAAGTGCAACCAAATATTTTAGGTGGGATAGAGAAAAGCTCTTTATTTGGAAATAGACAGTGATAAGGAGCTTTACCATTCAAAACAGAAGACAACATTTGATTTATCAAAAAACATGCGGTAGACACGACATCAACACAAAACTGTTTAGGAACATTCATTGGGAATAGAAGAGCCCTTGCAGTTTCTAACAGATGTCAGTTCTTTCATTTTCAACTCCATTTTGAGGAGGTGTGTGAACGCATGAAGTTTGATGGATAACACCATGCTGAGTTTGAGTCAACGTTGAAGCATAAATGACTGAAATGTAGCAAATAGATATTCTTGGGCGTTGTCCTCTCTTAACACCCAAACATGAATGTTAAACCAAGTTTTAATCATAGATACATAAATCACTGAGATACCCGCGTTTCGCGTTCCGGATCGCGCGTACCGGATCGCGGTACATTTGCGTGCCGGTCGCTTCTGGTTCGCGACTTCGGTACGGAAGTTTCAGGTCGCAGTTCGCTGGTCTCTCCGCCGCAGGTCACTGACGCTGGTCTTTCCGCCGCAGGTCGCTGACGCTGGTCTCTCCGTCGCAGGTCGCTGACGCTGTTCTCTCCGCCGCAGGTCCTTTCTTCGTCGTTTGTACTGTCGCTCGTTTTATGGTATTTTAGATCTGGACTCTGTTCTTTTACTCCGCGGCCCTCTCACTCTTTCTTTTGGCAAACCGTTCTTTTTTCCTTTTTTTTTTGTTTTTTCCCAGTGAGTTGACTCCAGAGACTACTAATTTTCCATCCTTTTTGAACTATGCAGTATTTTGTGTGTGTGATGATTTTTGAACTACGCACTATATGCTCTTTTAACAACTGATTTTTTTATTACTTTATTAATATCGAATACTTATATTAAATAAAAATTTAAGTTTATCAGATTTAGTTTATTCCGTTTATGAATTGGGAACAATTGGAATTTGGAATGTTACATTAATTGTTCAATAGTCCATATTATTAATATTATATTTCTACTTTTAAATTCAATATGTTTAGCGGTACACCGTAACGTAATCAATGGTACAACGTACCGCGTACCGAAATAGCGTACCGAAGAAGCCTACCCCCTCGCGTACCGGATACACTGGATTTAGCGAACCCCGTTCCCGATCCTCGTTCCCGTACCGAAACGTTCCACGAACTATGTGACTATGGTTTTAATTTCAGTACATAAGGAAGAAAAATGAGTGAACAACTTAGATCAACGTTTCATGAAATACAACCATGTCATACGAGAATAGTCATCAACAAATGTAATGAAATATTTTAAACCAGCTTTAGACACAACCGGGCAAGCACCCCAAACATCAGAATGAACAAGGTCAGATGGAGCATTTGTTCGTATATTAACTCGAGGGCTTAATCTAGTACGATGGTGTTTCGCAAATTGACATGACTCACATAGTAAAGATGACATCTTATTGAATTGAGGATTTATTTGCTTCATTAATGGGAGAGATGGATGTCCTAATCAGTAATGAGCCTCTAACAAATTCTCAACCCCAAGACAAGAGATACCTTTTGTGATTGATGTATCCAAAATATAAATACCAGCTGACTCATGTCCTTTACCAATGGTCTGCTTCGTTAACAGATCCTAAAACACATACTCCCTCCGTCCCGAAAAGGTTTGCCAAATTTCCTTTTTTGGATGTCCCAAAAAGATTTGCCATTTCTATTTAAAGTAAAGAATATGTGGCTAAAGTTAATTCTCTCTCCTCTTCACAAATTTCAACCACACAGTTTTTACTTTATTAATCCACGTGAAAGTCAAAGTTGGCAAACCTTTTCGGGACGGAGGGAGTAATAATTAAGAGTACGTGTAATTTTACTGATGGAAAGTAGATTAAATACAAAATTAGGAAGACTCAAAACAGGCGATAGTGGTAATGTAGAAGTTGAGACAACAGTACCGGATCCAAGAACGGGTGATGTAGATCCGTCAGCTAAAGTGACACTTGAAGTAGGTAAATATGAATGAAATGATGAGAATAAACTAGGATTACCGGTCATATGATCTGTGACACCCGAGTCAACGACCCATTTCGAGGAGGATGAAACAAGTCTATGTGTTTGAAATACCTGAATTAGCGACTACCGAGATAGGGACATAAGGAATGCTTTAGAGATTCTTGGTAGCAAATAAATTTGGCATGTGCGTATGAAGAAATAAAAATTGACCCATCAGATGATTTTCTTGAGCAAACCGATTTCCTTGATTTTTGAGCAGCAATTTTCTACATTCTTTGAGTAAGTGCCTGGGCTTCTTGCAGTTTACTCCTATGTCAAATTGAGCCGTACAAACAAATGCAACTTTGACCATTAATATATATATATATATATATATATATATATTAGTCAAAAAATTAAAAAAAAATAGATTTTGAAAATTTACAATGAGACAAATTTAACAATATTTTTTTCATAAAAAAATATTAATACATTAATAAAGGGGAAATCGCACTTTTAGTTCCTGAAATAGTCGCCAAAATGAAATGTTAGACCCATATTTTTTGAGATTGTAAATGTCACCCCTCAATTGTCCAAATTTTTGTCAATGTGGTCCTTTAAGTGGTGAAATGTACTCTCGTCCACATTGTATACTTCATCCCTCAAAGGACCACATTTACAACATTTTGAACAATTGAGGGACGACATGTACCAACTTGGGAACACAGGTCTGACATTTCAATTTCGTGACTATTTCAAGGACTAAAAGTGCGATTTTCCCCATTAATAAATAAAACGTAGTTAAAGTACAACATGTGAATAGCGTAAAATTTAACATGCTGCATTTATTTAAGAATGGAGGTAGTGTGTGTGTGTGTGTATATATATATATATAGAATAGAATAGAGATCAAATACAAACCATGCTTAATTTACAAAGTACAAACTTATCTTGGCCATCTGATGAGTTGATCTAAAGGATATAAAGGCAAGGTGACATTTTTGTAATGAAACCTAACTTTTCTAGGGTGCAACTCGTTGAACGTTAATGTGCAACTGTTATTTTATGAGTATATAATATGCAACACTTTGAACCTCAATATGCAATGCAAATAACATCAAGGTGCATCATACAAACATTTGCACAATAAGCACACTTTGTACTTGATCTTTCCCCTATATATATAATATATATATATAATATATATATATATTCTTTTTCTAATAGCAATAAAGTTCAAAATTGAAATATTTGTGATATTTGGAATTGCTTGGCAATTCCAAGCGTCCTCCCGTGCGTAGATCCTGTAGGAAACAACAAGGGAAGAAAATAGCTGCACAATAAAGAGCAACAGTGAGCCCTTGTAAACAGAAACTAGCTTCCTAGCCATGTTTGGTACATCTAGGGTGTTTTTCTGATTTGATTGATCAGAAAAAACAACTGTGCCATGACCTGTAACCTGACCTGCAACCCGTGTAGCTGTGCCATCAACAGTAGTAACGTGTGGATGCGAAATCAAAAGTTACGTGTTTGGTAAAAAAGTTGGTTGTTAAGGCCGATAAGCCGAAAAATAGGTCCACCAAGCGTGCTCTAAATAACATAAAAACTATTTCCTGGATTAATGATGTCCCTTCAGTACAGATCTGGATACATCAACAGTGTGTTAAACAATTTAATGTAGGGATTTGAACTAAGCAAAAAATTTGTAGTGTAGCATCTGACATCTCTAGTGTGTCCAACTGAAATGGTAATTTGGTAGTAGTTAACAACTAATTATTGTTTTGTAAATGTAATTTGGTTACTAAATTAGCAAGGTAGCAACCTGTTCATTAGTGTACTCTATCCCGTATTTTTTCATTATGAATTTAATTGGTTTTTAATAATACTAAGAAAATGTGCCATTTTGGAAAAATTCACATGAATAATGCTAACTATTAGCGGTATTCCATTATTAATCCCACAGGTAATTCTAATATAATCTAATTTATTAGGGTCATCTTCTTCCAACAGTCCGATGACCTGCTTAAACCAATTCAACAGGTCACTTGACACGTGGTATGTTTTAATTGGTCTATTTTTTATTCTTCCTTTTTTTGGTTTTTCCTTATTACTAGTATTTCGACTATTTCTTATTTCTTTTACTTTTCAGTTTGATTTCTTTTCTCCTGCTCTGGTCCGTCCATCTTAGCTTCTCCCCGGGTGTTAGCTGGCCCTATTCCCTTTTCACCTTTACTTTTTCCTTTTCTGTTATTTTTTCCATGGCTGCTCCAGTGCTCCTTCAATGACATTTCTTACAATCTTACTGGTGGGTTATAACTTCGGACCGAGGAAGGGAAGGAAGTGAAATCGACATCTTTTTCTTTTGAATTGAGAGGATAAAACAGTTGGGCGAGACTCATAAATGATAGGTGGACCGTGGACGGGAGATAACCGGAGAAGGGGAGTTAGCCGGAGTTCTTCCCACACATAGCCAAGAAGAAAAGAGCTAGATACATCAGCCATGGATGATAGAAGGGAGATAGCTTAAGTTTTCACCATCGCTAGCTTTGTTACTGACTTGCTGTCACAAGGTTTTGGTCAAGCCACCGGCCATTGGAGATTTCAAGTTGAGTGAAGAGAAAAACGAAGAGAGCGTAAGACTTTTATTCGAATCAAATAAAGAGCGGGCGACAATAGGTTTTGGTCAAGCCACCGCCTGTGCCATCTCCTTCTCTGTTCGTCGTCGACGTAGACCAAAGAAGCGGATGGACTATCTGTTCTTTATTTTCAGCCATCCACATATTACTTATTTTTTCTTTTTGCCTTTTTTTAAGTTTTATACCGGTTCAATAGGTTTCAGGTAGCATGGGATCAATCTGAGAAGGTCACACGTGAATTTGGGATTATTTTAGAATTACAAATAGATGGGATTAATAATGGAATAACGCTAATAGTTGGGATTATTTATGTGAATTTTTCATGCCATTTTTTAGCAAGACACTCTCCGTTGTCAACTCAGTGTGCGACAGCAAGTAATTCTTCACAAATAATTGTCCATTTATGAAACCAACAAAGTAAAACATAGTAAACTTACTGGTTGCTCTCCCATTTTGGTTTCACTTTTTCCTATTACTTTTGATGCCAAGAAGCCATTAGAGGTCTGTTTATCAATTTATGACAAAATTATTTGCATCTTATTGTGTCATTATTGTATGTATCTTATTGTAGTTTCAGCTGGCAGGTGGATGCTGAAAGATCATATCATCGAAGTGTTGTTTCTTTATTGGAGAAGCTACATTTAGAAGTATGCATACATTAATTTGCCCCAATACTTGCTTGCAAATATACCCTTCGGATCTCTTTTAGTCTCGTACTAAATGAAACTTTTATATTGCTGGAGTTAGATGATTACAGACGAAGAAGAACTAAATGAGTCTCTGCAACAAGACTCATCAACTGCACAAACAGAGACAGCTTCAAAGAGATCTACTGCCCATCCACAATTTGTAAAGGTCTTACACTCATTTGATGCTGAAGCAGACGGCGAGCTAAGTCTTGAAGTTGATGATTATGTTGTAGTCCGTCAGGTATGTGGTACTGCTAACTATGTACACATTAATTAATTAATTAATTAATTAATTAATTATAGTAAATAAAATTATATTCCTTTGGGATTTAGACTCTTTCTAAGTTATTAGTAATTTGCTAATTTAACAGTACTTATATCAGTGATAATTGAAATGGAGACTAACTTGGGTAATCTGGAGCCCAATTCGGTCCGGTAGGCAATCAACCCATTAATATGTCGAAACCCGCATCTACCCGCATGACCCGCCGGAACCGGACCGGCTGAAACTCAGAAATTGGGTAAAACCCGGAATTCTGTGCAAAATTAGTCGTGAAGGGGAATCGAATCCTGCTCAACGACTTGAGTATACGGCCACCAAACCATCTAGCTGCACTGGGAAGTTGTTACACTAGGCTCTTTAACTCTATTTATTACGGAGTATATAGATTGTGTTTAATCAATGCATTACAAATTTACAACCTCTACGGTTCTATTACTTGGTATATAATCAATAATCATAATAATAAAAATATAACATCACTAATAAACACTACTTACTATTATAATAACTGAAAGCATTTATATTCATTGTTAAAACTTGTACATTGTAAATAATAATTTAATTTGTATGTTGACCAGGTTTTCCGGCATTGACCGGGTTGACCCTCCAGGTCTGGGTTGACCCGTGACTCAGTCATTCGGCCGGGTCGCTCTCCGGTCCGGTTTTTACAACATAGGATACGGATTGAAAATTATTGCTAGATTTCAAAGTTTGTGACATCTCGGCTCCTCTTAGAATGGTTCCTTGATGCCATTTTTTGGTTTTATTCTAAATAAAAGTTACATGAAAAATGTTCTGTTACAAACCAAAAAAGATGAGACGTACACTAATCATGTTAGTTTTAAACACGTCTTACAGTGAATCTCAAAAAACAATCATGGTTTCTCGAGCGGGACCTTGAAAGATATTATTCCAGTTTTTTAACTACAGTTGAATTTTTGGTAATTATTAACAAAAGTTGACAGTTTGTATTAATCATTGACAGTTTAATCATCATTTTAATTATTGGTAATGACTGGCAATAATATTATTCATGTTAGCGCTTTTAGGGTATTGGAAATTTGGAATTAATCACGGCACAACGTGGATTGGGTTCTGTGTGTTTTTATTACCGCATTGCTGTTCATATATGTGACAAATTGTTTCATGTTATTATCTTTGAAATGATTTTTTGGTTTTCTATTTGGTAACTAATGATTATAGGTAGCTCCTAACGGATGGTCGGAAGGAGAATGCAATGGCAAAGGTGGATGGTTTCCCTCAGCTTATGTCCAAAAGATAACACCTCGTGGCCTCGCATCAGCAGCCAAAGATGATTCTTTTCTTCCAAATAACTAAAATACTAAATAAATACGGATTATTTTAAATGCATGTATTCTTTTGTGTAAAATTTTCAATCGGGGCGTGACTCACATGATAAGAAGATTGAAGAAAGTGCCACAAAGGAGAGGTTCCAGTTTGAACTCCAAGTAATGACTTCAGACGAAACCTTACACTTTTTCCATCAGAGTGATCAAAATTCAAGTTACATCCTTCTAGATAATTGTCCGGTTGATTTCGGGAGGCTCTCATGGATGGAATGGCATGGCATTCTTTTGTGTAAAATTCTCAATTGTACAGTGCAGTCTGCAAACACCTCAGAACGTTATCATAATTTTCTTGTCTATGTAGTATAGTTATAATGGAAGTGTAATTTGGTTTAAGTTCTTAATTGAAAAATAAAAGGAAAATTGTCAATTGAAAGTTTTTTTTGGGAAAATAAGCCCTTGTATTCTTACAACACCTAATTGAGAGTTGAGACCGCCAACTTGAGGAGAACACTCAATAAACCGTTATACGCGGTCGTCGTCTCCCGGGTAGCTCATTGCTCGCTGACTAGGATGCCTATGTGGAGGTCGTTACATGTCTATTAATGTTGGTTTTCCTTGTTCAATTACATGACAATCCATGTGGCGGCTCGCTGCCCGCATGACAATTTTTCCTTGGTAACAACTTCAGTATCTATTTAAAAAATGGGGTACTATCTCTCTGTGCTCTAATACAGGGGTAAGACTGTGTACATCTGACCCCTCTTACCCCACTGTAGGTGGGAGCCTTTGCGGCAATGGGGTAATTGAAAATGATGAATGACTATACTTACAATTCATGTGATTGGTTTAAATCATTATATCTTTAATTTAGATTTGAATAATTCAACTGCAACATTCTAATTAATCCATGTGGACAAAGGTATGATACCTTAAGGGTATCATAGAACCTATCTTTTTCCTTATTCCTCCCTCCCTCCTCTCTATCTACCTATTCTTCATTAAATTCGCGGTCTTGTAAAAATAAATTTCCAAACAAGTTAAATATGTTCAGCGCGATTGACATTCTTTGTTTGAGTATGCTTAACTAGACCAACAAATAAAATTTAAATTACAGTTAGATTTGATGAATTTTAAATAGTGGTATCTTACTAAAAGTAAAATCAATTGCATTGGTGAAAGTGGTCTTTTTCCAGACCTGATTTAATAATTACGTATGAACTTTTTGCAAGGAAAAAGAATCAACAGTGGCAAATAGATCGGTAGTAGCAGGTACCATACAACTATTACATTAAAGAAATGTGAAATTGAATAATTCCTATTGGGGGTGATTCCTATTGGTCTTTTTACAATAGTAATCCCTATTGAGAGTCTTCATAAAAATAATACATACTAGCAATAGTGTACACAAGAATAAATTAGAGTAAATTCACACTAATGCACATTTAATACTCTCAATCCATATCTCCACTTTCCCATTATCTCTCTTCGTCTCGGTTAACACTTTTATGTCCCAACCTAGAGAGAAGCACATATGGCGGAAATGGTGTTGAGATTAAACATGTTTTAGTTTGAATTGACCCCGAGAAAAAGAGTTGAGAAGAGAAAAGTGAGAGTAAGAGTCGAGACTCAAGAGTATTAAACAGACATTAATTTGAATTCACCCTAATTTATTGTTATGGACACCATCGCTAGTTCAGATTATTTTTATAGATGGAGATTATTATTGTAGAATCCCTAAAAGTATGGATTAATATGAATTTCACTTCCACACATCCAAACACACCGATTTAAAGATTTCTTCTACTTAGTTGGCATGCAAGCTGATCAAGAGCTACCATTGCATGAGATGATGGGCCTAGGGAGCCTTCATACCTGTGAATACATACATACAACTTGGTCATGGCCCATGGGCCTCTATGCAAATAAAAAAGAAATTTGGTAGATACCAAATAAATATATCAAACACAGGGTCGCTTCCTCGCTTGGAAGTCATAAAATGCTAGTAAAACAAAAGGATGAAACAAAATGTGAGTGAAAATGAAAAAATAAATAAAGATATTAAAACACTGTTTCATTTTGAATGAAAGATTTTTACTCGTTTAAATCAAATTGATTTGGCTTTGTATTGTTCAAATTAAAACCAAACATGAAAAAGAAACATTTTCCATAGCTACTTTTTATCTTCCCAACCATTTCACAAGTTCCAAAGTTAACCTTACAGTCCAATCAAGAGGAATGCTGCAGTTTGCATGACAATCACACCTTCACCAGCATGTTTAGAAGTGTTCATGCATCTTGCACAAAACCAGGTCTCGTGAATCGATGTGACAAGATCTGTTAAAAATATAATTTTCATCAACTAGACTATACAAGTTTAATAGCTTCAAGAAATTTGGCAATTCAATTCTCCCTACTGATTCCTAATGAGTTTAATGGAGCAACAATATCCCGCTTGTAGCATGCACATGTTTTTATACATAAGTCGCGTGATAGTTCCAAGTCCTAAAAGAGTATAGGCAGACTCCTTCCAGCCCCAGTACACCCAGATGTATCGTGTGCATGGTATTAGATCCGCTCAACATCCATATGCTTCAAACGGCCATTCATTTGAGGAAAATGAGCATTATGTGTGTGTGTGGGTGTATTAAAATATGCATTAGTTAGAATGAAGAGTATGAAGAAATGAGCATTCTTTAGGTGTAAAAAGATCAATTACCAAAAAAATGCAAAAAAACCCAGATGTAAAATTACATGCGGAAGTACCATGTAATTTGCCCCTTAGTGTAGGATGTTTGTTGATTCAGTTTGGTCGGTTCAATTTTGAATTGCGAAATTGAAAATCAGTTCAGTGCAAATCAGTTTTTGTTTGTGGTTTTTTGTTCAGGCCTTGAGGTGATTTAAAAGGATGAAAATCATCATCATGATTTGGTAAAGGTTATTTTCTGAATTGGCTAAATTTTCCGCAAGATAAATCATTTGGCAAAATCAGTTTTAGGAAAATAAGCAAGTCAAAGGCTACTTAAAGCCCGTTTGGTGATAATTATTTGGCTGAATGTGCTGAATTTAATGAAATGAGAAGCAATTTGTCAAATCCATTTCAGCAAAAAAAAAGTAAATCTAAAACTACTTGTTCTGTTTACTCTAATTATTATGATGACCAAATTTGGCTACCAACCAGGCTCTATGTGTGCTTATTTTGGCTAGCAAGTAGAATAAGTTGGATGAGATACACCAAATGTGGTTTAAAAATGAGTAGATAAAAAAAAAAGATATGCAGCTGTAGTTGCCGAATGCTCAAATACCAGCGTATCTAAAACTCCAATAACTTAAGAGTCTTAAAAAATTGAATAGGGTTTAGAAAAGCATTTGGACAGGGGGGACAAAAAGTGAGGAGACACGAATGATAATAAAAGGATAATGTGAACAATAGAGCTCACATTGGTTCTGCCTGAGATAGAAACTCTCAGTCTGTAGCTTATTGCTCTTAACAAAGTTAAGAATCTGGCCCAATTCTGTTCGATCTGCTTTTATCCCCTCTTGAGCTACACTGAAAGAAACAAGGAATCCTTTGTTTCAAATCGCCACATCTAATGTTCATGCTAACTTTCGAACATACATCTTCTATTGAAAGAGCTCAAATGCTAAAATGGTACATCACAACTACTGATAGAAGAAAACGTGTCAGGATTAACAGCAATGGAAACGCAGGCACACACATGGCAAATTCCACCCCCAAGATTACTAAAGCAATTTGCACTTACATAGTCGATAGAAGGCGGGACGGTCCGTTTGGATCGTAGTTTAAAAGCAAAGCAGCCTTCAAATGTTGATCTTAAAGTCACATTATCCACAGTGTCAGTAATCATGCAGAGTATGGATTTGTAGAAATGCACGCATTAAGAATTAGGGACGCATCACCTGAACAACCAAAGTGGTTAGATGCCCACTTATCCCAGATTTTATGCACAGCAGCCCAATCCATGTCCCTATGCAAATGAACCCCACTTAGCGTAGAATTAGAAAGACGATGATAGAGGAGTTTATCCCGCCCCAGATATGGATCAAACCTGTAGAGGCGGCGGTGTTAGTTGGTTCGGTTTGATTTTGGTTGTTTTAGTCGGACGGTTTTGATTGATTTCCTGTTTTTTGTTCATCCCTAAATAATACGGAGTACTTCCTAGGTAATACACAAATAGTACCCCCGTCCCTTTTAAAAGCACAAAGTTCTTGGTACAATAAAAATAAATAAAGATGATACAGCTACATGAGATGATGATGAAGAGTATAAAACTTATTGATTTCATGTCCCATTAGATTCAAGAAATAATGATAACAACTATACATATGATTTGTAATCTGACAAATATAGGACTTAATTTGAAATAGGACAAAAAAGTGGGCGATTAAACCTGAAATATCCCTACACTTTTCTTCTGTTACATATTTGATTCGCACAATCGCAAATCAGTTCCTATTCTTTATCTCCATCAACACTCCTGACCGACCAACTAGGAGCATTGTCGCATTCGCCGATGCCTTGCTACTACGCACCAGTATATGTTGCGCAACCGTCGCCGCACTACAGTGAGTTCCTTTGCGACTATGGTCACGAGTTTCTTGGATTCAGCGATGATGAGTTTTGTCACAGATCTGATATCTAGATGTGGACATTCGACGAAATCATTTGACAACCTTCCCGATTGAATTTTTTTCTGAAATTTGGTATGGATGAACTAGACTTGATGAGGAACCTACACAAAAAATTTGAGCAAAAAATACCATCGGGAAGGCCCCCAAATGGAGGAGGCCGGACGGAGGGAGTGGTCCGGCCTGGCCGGACCTGAACTTTAGTGTATATATATATATATATATATATATATATATATATATATATATATATATATATATATATATATATATATATAGGGATCGGTTCTGGTGAGAAAGTGCAATTGTTCAAATAGAATAATTAATACCAGTGCGGCCGCGGGCGACAATCATATATAAAAGTGCACCTCTTAATTAGTAGAAGTGCACTCGTACAGAAATATGTAATTTTGCCCATGTTAATTACGAGTATTTTTTTATAAAAAATATGTAAAGGTGCCCCTGTTAATTATAAAATATGTAATGCAAATATTGTATATTAATAATACACAATTAGAACAATCAAAGTATCATAAACATGATATTCACGATATATGAAAAGGTAACACATTAAAAGTTCATTGTTATATATGTTGGTTAAAAGCATACAAATAAATTGTGTAGGGGGGGGGAATGTATCTGGGATTTTTTTTTTTTTGCAATTTTGAATTTAAATATACTAAGGATATGAAAATATGCATTTAGAAGAAAAATCATAGATAAACACGTAATACATATATAAGAAAAAAGTACGTAAGATACTAATAAGGAAAGAACATTATTACTACTAACCACTACTTAAACGGATTACTAAATAATTAATGCAGCGAAAGAGAAATGACAATATCTCTTTTACCCCTTTAGAAAGAAAAACGTAAATTAAAAATAATAATCAATCCAAAGGTTGTGGTTCATTCTTATTTCTCTCCCTAGATGGTATTCTCATTTGAACATAAATCTATATATATATATATATATATATATATATATATATATATAGAGAGAGAGAGAGAGTAGTCTTCCGGTCAGGTATACCTGACCGGAGCCCCGTCCGGCCTCCTCCATTTTGGGGCCTTCCCGGTGGTATTTTTTGCTCAAATTTTTTGGGTAGGTTCCTCATCAAGTCTAGTTCATCCATACCAAATTTCAGCCACAAATTCAATCGGGAAGGTCGTCAAATGATTTTTGGAAGTTAACTGGTCCGGAAAATACATATTCCGGACCAGTTAACTTGTAAAAATCATTTGACGACCTTCCCGATTGAATTTTTGGCTGAAATTTGGTATGGACAAACTAGACTTGATGAGGAACCTACACAAAAAATTTGAGCAAAAAATACCATCGGGAAGGCCCCCAAATGGAGGAGGCCAGACGGGGGGAGTGGTCCGGCCTGGCCGGACCTGAATATTTGTCTATATATATATATATATATATATATATATATATATATATATATATATATATATATATATATATATAGGGTAAGGTTCAAGTGAGAAGAACCCTTTGGGTGAGAAATGAGAATGAATCTCAACCATTGGATTCGACTAAGTTGCAGTAAAAGACACTTCATGATGCACTGAAATATGCAATCTAGCACGGTGGCATTTCTGTAAATACTTCTGAAAAATCCGTATTACACGTGTCTAGTGCAACATGAAGCTATTTCGGTGCAACGCCGTCAAATATTAGTGCAACATGAAACAGTTTTAGTGCAACATGTGCAAAATTTAAATATTACTGCAACATAAAGCCAATTTTAGTGCAACTTCGTAAATCCAATGACTGAGATTCATTCTCATTTCTCACATTAGATGCATTTCTCACCTGAACCAATATATATATATATAGGGAGCGGTTCCGGTAAGAACGGACTCCCATGAGAAAAATAAGAACGAATCTGGACTGTTGGATTGTATTATGTGGAACGAAAATGTGCATTTGGTGAAACTAAAATGTGCATTAGATGATATTGAAATGTGTAGAATAAAAATTTAAGCTCAAGTGTGCATTAGGTGAAACTGAAATGTGCAGAATAAAATGTAAAAAAATAATATCACATCGTACCTTTTATTTTGCACATTTCAGTTTCACCTAGTGCATATTTCAATTTCACCTAATACACAATTTAGCTTCACATAATGTCATTGTATTGTACCATTTGTACTGCACATTTCAATTTCACCTAATGTACATTACAGTTTCATCTAATGCACATTGAATTTCACTTAAAGCAAATCTAACGGTCTAGATTCATTCTCATTTCTCTCCTAAGATCATGTTCTTATTTGAACCAAAACCTATATATATATATAATAGAGATCAAATACAAACCATGCTTAATTTACAAAGTACAAACTTATCTTGGCCATCCAATGAGTTGATCTAAAGGATATAAAGGTAAGGTGACATTTTTGTAATAAAACCTAACTTTTCTAGGGTGCAACTCATTGAACGTTAATGTGCAACTGCTATTTTATGATTATATAATATGCAACACTTTGAACCTCAATATGCAATGCAAATAACGTCAAGGTGCATCGTACAAACATTTGCACAATAAGCATAGTTTGTACTTGATCTTTCCCCTATATATATATATATATATATATATATATATTGCAATTTTTTAATATTTATACAAATCTCACAACTTTAAATATTTTTAAATATATTCCTCAACACGTATCCTCCTTTTTTTCATATCTTCGTACACGTTTCCGCATTCATGTATCCAAAGCTCTTAAACCTCTGTAATCAATATGCTTTTTATTTCATTCATTCTTGGGGTACACAAAATTTGTACACACTTGGCACACTCTCCTGTCTGCACCGATAATTGTTGCCTTTTTCTAAATGAGTTGCCTATCTACACAGATAACTATGAAGTGTTCACATTTTGTGTATATTTTACATTGGCACGTATACACAAATGGTTGTTGTTGTTTTCTAAACGAAATGTCTGTGTACACAAAGAACATGTGTTGAGTGGATACAAATTATGTGTACAAATCGAATTTTCTTTTTGTTTTCTCGGTATCTCGTCACAAATTATACCGTACAACCGGCATCTCATGCCCATGATATGTCAGGTCTGATACTGCACTGTTTACCTTCATCACTTTCTCCAGCCGTTTTCCCTTTCCCACTTCCCATCCGTCATATAGCATCGCGTGACAGAGCATCGAGTATTCGAGTCTATGGAGTAAACAAATATGGAGCATCCGTCATATAGCCTTTTCCTCCTTCATCACTTTCTCCATCATTTTGATGCTTTGATATATCATTTATGGAGTAAACAAATATGGAGCAAATCAATCCAATTGATAGGCTTTGGATATTCATATTAGAGCAAATTAATCCACAGAAAGCAACCACTTATTTATTATTTAGTCTGCTATTTGTTTGCTTTGTTGGTATTATAGAGTTACATTTCATTTCATTTTGGCTAAAGTTACATTTTGTAACACACGATTTACGTTTCATTTTTTCTGTATAAGTTACATCTTGATTACACTTGATTTACATTTGACATTGTGCGAGTTACACCATAAAACAATGCGAGTTACACAACAAAAAAACCTATGTTATTCAATCAAAAATGATTTTCTTATTATAATGGACCTAATATTAAAAACAAAACATATGCACTATTTAGGTAAAATAATTGGATAATTAGACTCTATTTTTTTCATTAAACATGAGTTACATTTCAGGGCACAAGTTACATTTGTTGCTGACTGAAGTTACATTTGTAACAACATGAGTTACATCTAATTATACACAAGTTACATTATTCATGTTGCTGGGATGATAATAAAAAAAGAGTTACTATACACGCATACTGTTCACGCGATTTTTTGTTTTTTAATCAAAACTACGTCGATTTTGGGGTGTGGAACATGATGCTCACCATGTCATGTTGCACTCGTATCTCGCGGGGCAATGAGATTCGCGACAACAAAAAAGTGGGTCCCTGAAAATTCAAAAGTCTTTGACTACAACGATTGCACGACATGTTGCCGGGAAATTAAGACATTGTTGTTGACAAATTGGGGTTAATTTAGAATATAACTTAAAATTTAGATTGTTGTTCTAATGGTTGCAATAATAAGCCTTTACTCCGCCTTTCTGTTCACAAAATTTAAATTAGCATCATGATGGATGAATGAATACGAAAGAATGAAACTTGAATGTTAAGTGGTCGTGAAACATAAGAATGTGGCGGAAAATTTGAGATGTGTTGCTTGTTATTAATTAATCAATAATAAAAGAAAGGGAAAAGGTGCAAATAGGCCCATGTACTAACCAAAAAAGGTCAAATAAGTCCTTATTTAGGATGCTTTGTCCGGCCGTCGCCATTTGGAGTGGTTCCCAGTGGAATTTTTTGATGAAATTTTTTGAACATCTTATTTATTAAGTCTAGTTTACTCATACCAAATTTCAGATAAAACTTCAATCGGGAAGGCATTCAAATGAATTCTTGAAAATAACTGGGCAGTTAGAAGCGCAGTTATCTTCAAGAATTCATTTGAATGCCTTCCCGATTGAAGTTTTAGCTGAAATTTGGTATGAGTAAACTAGACTTGATGAATAAGATGCTCAAAAAATTTCATCAAAAAAGTCTACCGGGAACCACCCCAAATGACGACGTCCGGACAGAACTTCCTAAAAAAGGGCTTATTTGACCTTTTTTTGGTTAGTAAATGGGCCTATTTGCACCTTTTCCCTAAAAGAAACAGATAGATTAGATTTGGTAGATGGGTTCAAGTAGCAGCAAGTCCAATCCTACCGCCGCTTCCCCGTCGCCGTCTTCAGTTGTCTGGAAGAAGACTCTATCCGGCCGAAGCCGAGTTTTCCGGTCATCTTGTATCGGATCTACCGGCGTTGACAGTGACTGCTCACAGGTACCTATTTTTTCATACACAAATCATCTGTCTGTTTTCTTTTAAATTAATTTTCTGAACGAACTACTAGCTCGGATGGTAAAATACATTGTTTGTGCTTTGAGCCTTTGGCAACTAGTTTGAACCCAAACTTTCACAAAAAACAAAAACAAAAAACTAATTTAGCACTGCACATTCCGTACAAATTGCTATTCACGTTACCTTTCACCTTTGGATGAAATGGATTCCTTTGAGAAAAAAAACTAATGATGCAAGCTGCAGATATCCAAACACGGGTCCAATGGAAATTCTAGCACTGCACCCAGTGTGCATGAAAATGAGTCTGGAGTAGAAACAGATGAATGTTATGAAAACGATAAAACAGATCAGCCGGATGATAACAATGTGAGTTCTGATGTGGAGCTTGATGAGTGGCGTCAATCAAGATGTTATGGAATTGTGCCCAGAGTGTTTGGTCCTTCTTCAGATGCTTCCACTCCGGATGGTAATATCAGCTATAGATTAAGCAGAGGATTTGAATCAGGATCATCATCATATCAAGCTCCTCCTTCATCCTCAACAAGTTTTGTGATTTCAAACAACGAAAATGCTCTTCATCTTCACTCGTGTTCACCCATTAGGTTTGCTAACAGAAGCGTGAGGCCATCTAATTGTGATTTGTTCCCCGCATGCTTTGGTAATGGATCATCTCGTAGGGAAATAAGTCAAGATTTTTCCTCCAACCACACAGATGATTCACAACACAACCAACATTTAGGAAGTTGTACTCATAGTATTGAGAGAAGAGTTGGTAATAGAACCACATCTCGTGCTGCTCCTGCTGGAAGGAACATTCAATTCAGCAGAACGTTGAGTGTTGGTAGACTTCGTGATAGAGTTCTTCGAAGATCGCGTTTCCCTCACGAGGTTTGTCTTTCTCACAGAGAGATTGAGGTGAGACATGTGAGTAGGGGTCATGATTTGGTTGGAGTAAGAAATTTGATATCTAAAGGGAATGACTTAGTTCGCCCTGACCATGCACCATCATCTGGTGTCTCAAGTTCCTCCTCATATCATGATATTTCAAGAGGAAGAGATGTCTTGTATCATGAACTCATGGAGCATATATCAAATTTCCTAGAGCGGCGAAGAAGAATAAGATCTCAGGTCTGTACAATGTCTAACAAGTACCTTTAGTTCATGTTTGGAATCCTGAAAGTTTTAGGGAAAGAATAGAAAGGAAAATCAGAACGGAAGAAAATCTGTGGGAAATCTAAATCTCAATGAATTTATTTTAGATACTCTTTGATACCATTTTCTTTATTTGTAGCTACAATATGGACTAATTCATCTAAACATATGTAAAAAACCTAGTAGTACTCCGTCTTCCTTTGCGTTGTACAGGGTAAAAAGTAAAAACAAACATAAGAAACTAACTTCATATTCACTTTGTTTGTTATATTCGAATATATTCGATTTGTATTCGAATGTTCGAATTTGTAAAGAATTAAATGTCAAATTTATCAAAGCAATCCAATTCATAAAGTATAGTTTGTCCTTTTTCCCCATTTTCACCTCACATATTTCATACGAATCAAATACTTTTCCAACAATTTAAATAAGTAATGCAGAAATACATTGTCTAAATAATGGTGACAGCAAAAATAAAAAATGTAAAGTATCTACTAATTTTAGTACATTAATATTATGTTATTAATATTTTTACATTGTATGATAATTATTACAAAGTATTATACACAAATACTATATAATAAACAAAAAATTAAACAAACAAATATACGTATATTCGCACATAATATAATTAGAATATATTTGAATCAAATATAATCGTATTTGTCTTCGTATTAAAAAATGATTGGAATAGGAAAACATATTCGTATTTGAATTTGTATTCTATTCATTCAAATTCAAATTCACATTTTAGAATTCAAATTACGAATGGAATAAAAACTATTCAATTCGTTTACAACCTTATTTGTGATGTATAAATGCATTTCTTTGTACCACTCTGTACTCATTTGTTACATACCTGACAGAAATTTCAAGAGATAAAATGCACGGGGTACTGATTTACTGGTGTTATTTTTATCCCTCACCCCCTCCCATGTAGTATTTGTGATTTCAATTGTAAACAATAGCTTTAAAATGCTTTTTGTAGGTACATGCGCTTCGAAGGCTAGGAAGCCATTTTGAGAACTTCTCTGGACATGCAAGATCTTGTATTTCATCTGGCCAACATACATTAGGCCACTGCCGCTGTCGTAGAAGTATGCGTGAAGCTAATTCAGACAATCATGTCAGAACAAGAGACAACATATCTAGAATTGTTATGTTAGCTGAAGCTTTGTTTGAGGTAATGCTACCAATATGTTCCAATTTAGTAAGTCATCTCACGTCGACCAAGTATAAAGATACAAACCTTCAAATAAAATCATGGATTATTCATATGGTCTATCTTTACGATGAAATCCTGAATCTTAATACATTCCATTTTATAGATCAATATGAGTTGGATTGCTCTCTTACTTATATCTTAGGTTCTGGATGAAATTCATCAGCAATCTCTAGTGCTATCCTCCCAGCCTCACGTGTCTTCAATTGGATCGCTTCCGGCACCTAATGATGTGGTGGAATCCTTGCCGGTGAAAGTGTACTACAACAACTCAGATAAAAAAGTGAGAGAAGATGATGCAAAGTGAGTAGAAACTTTTTTTTGTTTAGCATAATGCACTCGGGCCAATATTTGATCTTTCTTTCAACTTGCATGTGTTAAGCTTGCCTTGCCAGCACATAGCTTCTTTAAACTCTAACTTCTTCTCTTGTTTTTATAACTTAACAATAGATGTTACATATGCCTCATTGACTATGAGGGTGGAGACAATCTGCGAGTAATGCCTTGCCACCACGAATTTCATTTGACATGTGTAGACAAATGGCTGAAAGAAGTTCACAGGTATACTAATACTACTCTTAGGCCTCATTTGGATTGTCTTATTCCCAGGAATGGGATATGATGCACATCTTTGGATTTGGAAAATCCACTGAGGTAGGGAATTTCTAAGGGTTGTCAATGCCTGAAACTGTGGGCACCAAAAATTAGAAAACTCCAATTCCCAGTCATGCAAAGTTTGGTCTTTAAGGCTATGAAATGTTTTACTTTAAGTCAATGAGCAGTTTCTGGGTTCCAAACAGACCCTAAACATTAATGCTAAGTGGCTTTATATTCATTCACCTTTATTTATATACTCTGTAACTGATTAATGGAATGAATGTAGGGTCTGCCCACTTTGCCGAGGTGATGTCTGTAAACCTGAAAGGTAGAAGCTGTGATGCTGCTGAAATGCCACTGACATTTTGAACGACGTCGAGGGACAGAGAGAGCACTTGCTCAATTTGCTTGCTTGCTTGCTTGCTTGAGTTTTTGTTTTCGAGTCTTGTTTTTTTTTGTGTGTGTGTTGTATATGATGCCATGCCACAAGTTGGCTTAAGACACCACTTTTATTTGATGTTTTTATTACAGCATTAATCAATTAATGCAGGGTCTGTTGTATCCTAACCCACTTGATGATGAAATTATATTTATAATTTCAAAGTTCAACTGGGTAAAGATAAACCAAAAAAACAAACGTCTACGTTAGGATCAAACGTCTTGTGAATTGTGATCTTGTTTGAATCATTCTCCTAACTCTTAAGTCCAACAATAGAGTATAGAGAGAATTCTCAAAATATAAGTAAAACATGAGGTAAAAGCAAAAATGGGACCTATTGTTTTAAATTCCAGAGCAAATATTTGTATTTGGACAAAAATAGCCTCCAGTGCTCGGAGCAATCCTGAACTCCTGAAGTGTTCTAACATTGCGCATCGCAGTTATCCTCCAGGCTCTAGGTGTGTGTCGCAACCATCCTCCCGTGCCACAACAGTGTATCCTCCAGCAAGTCCGTCTCCTCTGTTGCCCTTCGCTAAGTTCGCCGCCGCCATCCTCCGATGAAGCCGCCGCTCTTCGGCAATTTCCTGTAACCTCCATTGAGAATGCCACTTGATATGCATAATGACACAATAATGACATTTTTGTATAGAAACATGACATTCCAAATACTGTAATTTCAAACTAAGATTGTCATCTTGAAAAACGTATTGATATAAAAGTGACATTTTTTCCAAATAATCAATAGTTATGACATTCTCTGATTCAAAAGGTGACATTTTGAAGTTTTGTAATTTCAAAGCAGTACTGTCATCTTTATAGATGTAATGCCATAGAAGTGACTTTTTCTTATTAATACTAGTAATTTTGTCATTCTCAGATTCGTAATTAATCAAAATTGGTTAATAAATAAAACCGAAGTTGGAGAAATTGGTGTGGCGCGGCTGCAGTTGATGGCGGAGGAGCAATGTTGCAGCAAAGGCGAAGAGTTGAGTTCAATCGCAGGTGGAGGAGCAGTGTTCCATCAGCTAAGGAATGTAATCCAGAGAAGAGTCGTTGGGTCGGTGTAATCATATAAGGGCAAAAAATGTAATATGGAGTCCTATTAAGAAAATAATAAACTTGAGGTCCTATTCTGAAATTTTGACTATGTTTTAGTCACATTTAAGGCAATAAATTAAGAGTATATATCAATTTAGTCCAATCATTTAAATCGACTTTTTATAGATTTGGCTATGAAATTTCAAATTATTAATTAATTATTTCAATTAAATGTTGATAATCATCATACTATAATGAAATAATTTATCATCAATTAAACATCGTAAACCATATAATGAAATTCAATATAAGATGGAGGCAACATTTTGATTGGTGGTCACTCTGATTTATTATATTGTGTGAAACTAGCTGGTATGTAAGTTATGCGCATTAACCCCCTATAATTCAAACAATGCATCAAAGTCATTACAACATCAAGAAGCTCCAAGTAATGTTGATGAACTTATTGCTTCTACTCAAAGGGCTTTTGATGAAATATCAGTGAGCCTTGATAATGTTTTTTGTCACTACAACTATGCATGGTTGAAGTGATTGAAAATTTCAGAGGGAATAATCACAAGTTGGCACACAACAACAAGCTAAAGTTGGAACGAGAAGGGCGTCTACCATCTACCATTTCATGCGACTTGGAAGTGCTTAATGAAGCAATTCAGCCCTTGAACAGTAGTTTTTTTATGCAATTTGTGCTTTGTATTTTGTTCTTGGAATGAGAATGTTTAGGGCCTTGGAACTTGCAGCCTAGTTTTTATGCGAATAATTGTACTTTATGTACTCCGTTTGCTGCCTATTGTTGTTTCTATGAATGTGTATTGTTAATAAAGTATAAATGCATTTTTTTTTTGTTTTGTCAGAAATACTACGTCTAAGTATTTAAGTAATCAAAATATTAGGCGAAAGTGTGTCCTCTTTATCTCTATATCTTAAACTTGTTTAGCTTTAACTGACCAAAAAGACAAAAGAGCACCGGGTGTCCTTTGTGCAACAACAAACATGACTTTTTCGTGTGCTTTATATTTACGTAGTGTTTAATACTCCTCTAACCCAATTTTATTCAATTAGACACAAGAATTAGGCTAGTGCCACTTCACCCCTTAAAGGATTGGACTTTTTCAAATCCAGCTAATTAAAATAGAAATAGCATTGTTTGGATTAAAATAGAATTAAGCTTATGCTGAATATAATGAGCTGAAGGCAAACGTTACTCCTCCAGGCGTTTCAATCCAGCTGGTTTTATAATTCCTTGTCCATGACAAAATTATCCCTGCACGCATTGGTTAAAGAGATGGAAGGCGTTGGTTCGTCTCAAGGGAAGCCTTCTGTAGAGGTTGTAAACTTGTAATCCAAGAATGCAGAGAGATTATTGAGAACTAGCAACGACCAATTAGTTATCATCACGCTTGTGAATAAATTGGATATGCACCTTTCGTTTGCATCCATCAATCGATGATTTTCTATATGTTGTTTAACTCAAGTTAAAGGATGCTAGTTATATTACATACTGGTATGTGTACCCGTACACCGCATGATAATATATGTGTTTAAGGTTTTTCTTATGACACATATAGGAATGAAAATAATAAAAAAATACAATAAAACTGCAGAGGTAATGAATTGTATGTGATTTTGTAGATTACACACTACATTTGATTGACTTACAAATATCAAATTTTGGAAATGGTTAAGAGGATTGTAAAAATTAGAATTTAAAAGAGAATTGTGTTGACCGTGAATGAAGCTATATATTGAAATGAGACGAAACCCACAAGATAACCCGTTTCAACCCATTTATTTTTGTATTAGGATTGTCATTTTTCACTTGTTTCGATTAATTTGGCTCACACTGATTGCAGGTCGGCCAATATTAAAAAAAAAGAAAACTTCTAATTTGGACTTTCATTGACTTGAATATCGATTTTCTACTATCAATTACATTTGCAATTATATACTTATTATTTTACAACATTTTCTAGATTATTATATCTATCATAACTCAAATAAATTATTCAAGAATATATTATATTTTATAGTCAACGATAATCTTTAGCAATTATAATCTACTCGATCAAAATGTCGATGTATATCCTTATTTTTGTATATTGAGTACTTTTGTTGGATATCATCTTATAATATCAAATGATTAAATAATTATGATTTAATAATATTTTTAATTTAACTTATCAAGTATGACGTTCTTAGTGTTTTGGTTTCTTATATTTCTTTTTATTACTACTCACTTATATGAACAAATACCTCAGGTTAATTATTTTCAATGTGTCTGGTCATTGTATGTTTTTACACTTGTTTACGGGCTAACCCGCGAAACCCACATATTGGATGGATTCGGGCAGAGTTGTAGAAAACTTTGGCCCGCCATTAGACAGTTGTGCCAACCCGACCTATGAAAAGCATAACCCAAGTTTAGTGTAGAATTATAATCCAAAGTTTATTATCATTAAATTGACCAAGAAAAATTAAATTGACCAAGCAAAAGTAAATTGACCAAGTTTTATGGGACTGGGGGCGTTTGTTATTTATTCCATCCGTCCTACGGAACTTGGGCAAATTGACTTTTCTTTATCAATGGTAATAAACTTTGGACAATAAATTTCCTTATTATATTTGAGTGAAAAATATAACTTCTATATTTTTGTGATTTTTTCTAAAAAATAACACTTACGTAATTTTGTATTTAAAAATATCATTGGTCAAACTATGCTATCATTAGTAAAAAATGTCAAATTGAAAATGTTTTGTGTGGCGGAAGAAGTATTTTTTTTTTTTTACTTTTGAGTATTTGCAATTTTTGAATTATCATTGAGTATGAATGTGTACCTAACTTTAATGTATACAAAATATTACAAACATGGTAGAATAGACGTGCTTTTTAAAATAACGAACATGGTATGGTAGTAGAAGACGGGCAGGTGGAGTTTTGGAAGTTGTATAGTTTTTCACTTATAATTGTAAGTGTTTACATATATTAATGTTGCAAACACATTGTAAACAATGTATTTAGGAGGATGGTTTTATTATTGTGTTGCCACATGTCAACTTTTTCTATGAAGAATATTGCCACATGTCATCAATTCCTTCATAGAGTTCTCCAAGGGTCAAACCAGAAGTCCTCATGATACAATTTGTACTCAATTAATGTAATTTATTATTTCTTCCATATCGTTTCTGTTTTTTCATGTGCCTTTGAAGTTGCAGGGAAGATTTTTCCAATATGTATATATTCAGGGCTGGTACATAATACGAAGTAAGAAACAATGCACATGCTCTTATTTTAGGCTTGGTAGAATAAATTAAACGAAGTATATGGCGCTAGGATATCCCGTTAGGAAGTAGTATATGGCAAAGGGAAATGAGATGAACACAAGCTGACAAGCCTTCATTTCACTTTGCTTCTAGTGGTTGAGAGACCGTTTCTTTTAGAACAGTGCTTGGCTGCACACATTTTACACAACTAAGAAATCAGAATCCTTCACACAACAATTCAATTCTTGACTGTCAAGTTAGGACAACCACGAAATATGTATGTATGAGGAGATTCAATGTAACATACTTGACCAATGCATCTGTATATATAGGAGGTTCTATCCGGCTATCGCCATTTGGGTCGGTTCCCGGTGGAATTTTTTGATGAATTTTTTTGAGCATCTTATTCATTAAGTCTAGTTTACTCATACCAAATTTCAGATAAAAATTCAATCGAGAAGACATTCAAATGAATTCGGGAAGATCAATGGTTTGGAGTTAAATTGTATCACTATTGGTTGAAAGAAATACTTTTTTATTGTTATGTTAAAAAGATATAATCAATTTAAATGTTAATTAATATGTAGTAATTGAAATTTCTTATTATTTTAGGTCTACAAGAACACTTCAAGAGTTGATGCGTTGTCACTAGAAAAAGTTGTTGAAGTACGAGATGCATGGGTGGTTTATGTTTGTGATAATATGTTTTTTTGTAAGTGTTTATGATAATATGTTGTAAACTTTGTTTTATATATACAGGTAATGAATGTATTTTTTGCGAAATAGTATTTGTTGCGGTTCAGAACTGCAGCAAATAAGTAATTATACAATTGATGCCCCTTCAATTGATCCGCAACAATTATAACAAAATAACCGCAACAAATGTGACTTTTTCTAGTAGTGATAGATAGGAGAAACTAATTTAAATATCTCAACTTGCACATAATACACACACACACACACATATAATTTGGATCAAATAAAAAAAGTCTTAACGTGTAAAATGAGAATTAATCTCAGCCGTCCAAAGTGTCGATCCGATGCACAATAACCCATATCCGATGCACTTTCGAATAGACCTTATTTGATGCACTTTTCTGTAAAATGAGAATTAATCTCAGCCGTCCAAAGTGTCGATCTGATGCACAATAACCCATATCCGATGCACTTTCGAATAGACCTTATTTGATGCACTTTTCGAAAAGTGCATCAAATAAGGTCTATTCGAAAGTGCATCGGATATGGGTTATTGTGCATCGGATCGACACTTAAGACGACTGAGATTAATTCTCATTTTACACGTTAAGACTTTTTTTTATTTGATCCAAATTCTATATATATATATATATATATATATATATATATATATATATATATATATATATATATAGAGAGAGAGAGAGAGAGAGAGAGAGAGAGAACGAATTTGGTTCAAATAAAAAGTACTTCCTAGGTGAAAAATAAGAACTAATCTTGGCCATTGATGTGATAAAATGAGTGGAAGAGATCAATTTTTAAGTTGGAAACGCGGTGGCATTTTTGTAATTATGGTGAACTTTTTTTGAAAATATTGTGACAAATGTGCATCAGAATAGTCAAACAGTGCACACGTAGAGCACAAAAGTGCAATACGGTACAAAATAAAAAGTGCACAAGATGGAAAATTTTGATAATTTTTTTTGACTCGCATGAGTACACTTTTAATCAGTAATTATCCATTTTATAGTATAAACGTTTGCACAATTTTTGAAATCATCTCTTGTGTTTAAAGTTCATCTAATCCATCCATTTTCAAGTGATGGAAGGCCAAGATTTATTCTCACTTTTCATGGGAAGACTACTTTTTACTTGAACTCATCCCTATATATATATATATATATATATATATATATATATATATATATATATATATATATATATATATATATATATATCCCAATCTTTATATAAAAATTTATGTTACCACCATGATCATATGTTTTTCATAAATTTAATTTTATGGTTTTTAGTACATAATTTAAATACAAAGGGCACTTATGAGGATGCAACTAAAATTAGATTATACCGGATTAATATTATTTATTTCACGAATGAAATTTTGGAATATAATGTTACAACATCCACATAAAGCTTATAACATTTTAAATTGAATACTTATCGCATTATATGTTCAGGGTACATATTCAGGTTTGGAGTATTTATCTCACACCTCTTCAAAGTTTAGGATATTTATACTATGTATTATGTATTTATGTTTTCATACACATTACATGCATTTTTTTTTTGCATCACCATTGTGTGGATTGTATACAAACATGTTCTAATTCACCCTAAAAGAAGAAACGTTTTAAATGTTTGTATTCACTATGTTATTTTTCTTGTTGCATCCAATTATCATTTGAACACAAACATGTTTATATTAATATAAACCTATAAATATAGTATATACATTCACACATGTGCACATATAAATATATTTAAGTATTTATTAAAATAAAAACCACTATAATAAACATTTTATTGTAATAATTTATTACATGCCCTTTAATGTAATTTTATGTTATCTAGGCATTTTTCAGTTCTTTTTACAAAACAGTTCTACGTCATTCAGTTAGCAATGCAGCCTTAGCACTTCAAAATTCACATTTAGAAAATAGTCTCTGATTCAGACAATAACTCACATTTCAGACATTAGACTTAATAATGGCACAAGAATGAATTCTCGAGTGTAAAAGGAATATATTGGGACCCACTAATTAATAATGGAACAGGAATTAAAAGCTTTGTGTCCATAAGTTAATAAACGCAACATAAATTATGAGTACGACAGGAAGGACAAGAGGGGAAAAATAAAATTTAATTTGGAAGATGTACATATTTTTGGGGGTACTTATTTGGAATAACACATATTGTAGGGATTAATGATGAAATAAGGCTAATAGATGGGATTATTAGTGTGTGTGTTTTTTCAATGGGTAGAGCAAAAAGGTTAATGGAGATGCGGGGTATCGATCCCCGTACCTCTCACATGCTAAGCGAGCGCTCTACCATCTGAGCTACATCCCCAACTGGGCATCTTCATGCTGCGCTAAGTTACATATCAAACGAAATACCGAAAGAAAGTTCATAATAGGAGGCGCCACGTAAGCACGGATGATAAGATAACCCGGCGATCGACAATAATTTTGGAACTCTGCTTCTCTTCCATCGAGTACAAAAATGGCAGCTGCCACCGCAAGTTCTCCTCTCAACCTCTTAGGTTTCAATCGTAAACTTTCCTCTCCGAGATGCCGCCCGACATTCTTAATGCCGCCTGGAAGAGTTCCCTCAAACTCCATTGCCAGAACTGGAAGAACCTTTTCCAACCCTCCCAGTTATGTTTCAACCTGTCTAGTGATCCCTCCGCCGCCTAAACGCCAAAAACCCAAGGCGATTATCCAATTTATCGGCGGAGCTTTCATCGGGGCCGTCCCCGAGGTCACTTACAGGTCTCTTATTTAAAGGAGTTTGCTACTTTTTTTTTTTTAGAACAGACGCTTTTATCATTAATAATATGGAGATTTTAATTACGTGGTGATATGTTGTTTGAGAGAGTGTAGTTATTTGCTGGAGATGCTGGCAATGGAAGGGTATTTAGTCATTTGCGTACCTTACAACGTGACGTTCGACCATGCGGAAATCACTAGGCGAGTGTCTGAGAGGTTCAGTTCTTGTTTGGATTCGATTTTGGGCTCTGGGTTGCCGGATTTAGGGCTTTCTGCTCTTGAGGTTTCAGATTTGCCTCTTTATTCTGTAGGACACAGGTAGTTAGCATTCAAAACTTCACTATTTCTCTGCTCAACTTCTTAGTGTGGATGATATATGCTACAGGTGAGGGATGTTTTAATATCAATCCACCATGCCACCTTGGACCCATTTGTTAAGGTCTGAAAGGGTTGAAGTTGCAGGATTTGTTGAAGTTCGGTGTCCAAATGACTGAACTTGCATGTTTGATCTTAACTTTCTTTGAAAAGTACTCCTTCCAACTTGGTCTCGCTAAATGTTTTATGTAGTTTAAGAAACAAGTTACTCTAAATAGATATAAAACACAGGTGATTAACTGAACATGAGAACTATGTTTTTTATCCTAAATAATACGGAGTGTTGTCATATAGTAGTGACATATGATCTTGGTATGACAATATGAATTCGAGATGACAGTACTTAATTGACATATAGGTGAAAAACATGCCATTCATCTTTAGAGAAAACACCTGTATTTGACCTCTTCTTTGGGAAATCACCCTTTAAAAAGTGTTTCTAGGTGTAAGAAACTGTGACTTTTTTATACTATAGTAGTACTGTATAATTTTTAAAGGTGTACTGCTTTCTGCTTTTCAGCACTTCCATTTCTGAAAAAAGATCGAGTTAAGTAATTTAGCACACCCAAAGAAGAAAGTGGGACAAGTGATATGAAATAGAGGAAGTATATTTTTAAATAAACTAAAAAAGTATTTAATAGTTGCAGAAGAAATTCCATTTTTCTTTAGTTAACCATTTCAGCGAACAAAGTAACTTTTGTAAGACTTTTCTATTATGAACCTATAGATTAAGTCTGGTAGGATAGTGAAAGGAGTTAGTGTTTGAAAAAGGTGTAATAAGGCTGATACATTAGAAAAGGGGTATACAATCCCTTGATTCCCCTCCAATGTATCAAAGAAAAAGGAAAGAGGCATACCAAGCAGGATCAATCCCATAAGCAAAATACAAATTTCATGCAACAAAAACCGTGGGAATGAAATTTTCTACTCCGTATCAATGAATTGTCTAATACTATCCTCGGTTTCTTTTTAATCGCAACATGTTGAATTTTACACTATTCACAGGCTCAACTTTGACTAAATTTTACGCTATTATTTTATGAAAATTATTTTTAAAAAAAGATGTTGTTCAATTCATCTCATTACAAAGTTTCAAAATCCGATTTTTAATTTTTTTTACTAATAGAGATTAAGATATAATTACGGTCAAAGACGTGCGTTGGCAAATGTGAAATGTTGACCGTTGCAACTAAAAAAGAACGGAGGAAGTATTATTGAACACTATCATCATCATCATTACCCCAGTGCCGCAAAGGCTCCCACCTACGTTGGGGTAAGGGGGGGTCGGATGTACGCAGCCTTACCCCTATACTAAAGCACAGAGAGACTGTTTCCGGATGACCCATGGTGAAAAAGCGCGACGGAAATTGCATGGACTGACTACTGCTTCATAAAAAAGAAGCGCAGACAGTTTAGAGAGTCATTTTGCTTTATTTCATCATTTTCCCAAACCAAAAAATAATGAATCTTTGGCTCTAAAAATTATTGAACACTAATAAATAAAAATAAAAATAAAAATAGTGGTAATTGACAATGATTTATTGTTTATTTAAAAAATATTATGGCATGAGATATTTGGCAAGGTTACATTTTGAGAAGAATGCCTTTTACAGATTCATGATTTGAATAAACATGAAAGAGAAAAGGAGTGCTTGTAGAAAGATAAAGAAAGCATACGATAAAGAAGCTACATTACTAATAATACGAGATGCCATTTGATATTTTCACACGCACAAATGTCGAATGCCTACTGATCATTCGTACCCCTTTGTTTATAGCAATGGAGCTCTTCTTCAAACTCTCACAGGGAGTTATTTCTCAGAGAGAATACCAAAGGTTCACAATATATTCTCTAAATTTCGTTACATTTTTCTATACTAATTTCGTAGCATGGTTTAGTCATCAGTTATATTACCTTATCTAGTTAGGTGAACTCTAAAAACTTTAAAATGAGGGAGTTTATATCTTATGCTCTTTGAAGGCTAATGTAATAATATCATACAACAACCGGCCAGCATCAGAGGCAGTGCCATACTTTAAGCAGGTAAATTGTCCTATAAGTTTATGAACTTTTAAGAAAGTATAAAAATGGCATCTGTTTCTTTTTACATATTTAACAGGTTTTTATTTATTACAAATTTAACATTTTTCTTACTCTTATGTATCATTTCTGGCTTGACTTCATCTCACTTGCTATTATTTTTGCAGTTGGGGCTTGTTGTCAGTCAGATGCTGCCAGTTGCAGCAACATTTCCGGTTAATTCAGTTGTTGAGGTTGCCTCAGGTAAAGGTCACATTTTAAGGAATTAATCTTTCTTCTTATTTAGAATCAAATTCCCAGAAAACTGAAATTCGAGCATACTTGTATGACTGTGCACTTAGAAAATAGTTTATTTTAATCTCTAAACAAAATATTTAATTGGCATTTGCATTTCTTCTCTTGTATTGTCTTATAGTCGATTTTGCTTTTAGGAAAAAATATTACACAAAAGGGAAATGTTTTTCTTTAGCTATTTTCAAATGTCAAATAATAATAATAATAATAATAATATCAACAACATTCCTAAATAAGCACAATCAGGACTAGATGTTGATATTAATTATTAAAAAAGATGAAATGCATAGTGAGTGTGTATTTTACCAATTACCCCTTTCATTCATTTTTTCTAATTGCCAATAGGAAATGCATGGAAGCTCCTGCTTGATACAGCTGAAACGGTGGTACCAAACTATGACCTGAAAGCATTTGGTTCATTCATGACTAGATTTACTGATCAATTGCCTTTGATAATTAATGAGGTAACTTTATGGTGGAGGTTTCACTTGATTGATGACTCAATTCTTCATCCATCTTAATTGGCAGACTGAGATCAGCAAACCCTTGGCAGTTTTGATATTATATGCTCTGTATTAAACTTCTTTAGGGAGTTTTGGTTCAGGTAGTTTGCGATATTAGATACAACACTGGAATGCTACATACCCGGTGTTTGGTTCACTTTATCTTGTTACATGCCCAACACTTCACATTTTTACCTTTTTGGGTGGTGTCCTTAACAGTTAAACCACCCATATTTTTAGGTTATCTTAGGCCCCTTTCCCAGAGGTTGCACGAGTTGGAAGATTTTGTTTTTTTTTCCTGAAATTTAAAACCAGATTTGGAAGTCAGGAAAACTAGTTTTCAGTTTTCTATTTGCACTTTCTGAAATTAACATGATTAGTAAAAGTATGAGTAAGTTTTTGTTTATTATACAACACGTATCATGTAAGATGTAAGTGACTAACTTATATAATCTTAATACCAGAAACAGCCAACTCGCGACCATTCGAAACATGACCTTACATTGGGGTTGTACACTGATGCCTATTTCCACTTTCATGAACTTATTTTTATGAATATACCCCCAGTATATTATTTATGATAAATAAAGGTGATCGGAAGTATATAACAAATAAAGTAGTATTTGAAACTATTTATATGCAAAGCTGGTCTTTATCCGTCATTTATGTTATCGAGATCATACTGTTAAGTTTAAATCAATGCACGTAACTTAATGACCGAAACGAGTTGAGGGTATTAAACTAAAAATCAATGTGTTATATAAGATGAAAGTATGATATATCTCCTATAATCTAAAAGTCATTCCCAGTAGTCTAACATTCCCCAAGTAATGTGATATCACATTAACTGGAACAACCCCTTAAGTTTTTGAATTTTAGATACTAGTATTTATGTGGTTGTTTGCCCCCCCCCCCCCCCCCCCCCCCCCCACCAGCTTGCTGAAGGGATATCAGAATTCAAGCCAACGCCACCTGAGAATCTAGAGAGCATAAGAGAACTATATAATGTTCAGTCCACTCTACTGGTTGGTACACTAATAATGATGACGTATGAATGTAAAACATGATGAATTCATATATTACATCCGTCCCATTTTGTAAGATACATTTTCCTTTTTGGGGTGTCCCAAAAATATGAACACTTTCCAAAATTGAACCCCACTAACATTTTACTTTCTAGTCTATCAATGATTCCACCCTTTACTTTTTGTGGACTCATCTTACTTTGTCTTACTTTTTGGAGGTTAGAATTGTAAAACAACCACTTTATCTTCTATGTTTCAAAACCCGCGCCATACCCACATGTATCTTACATTATGGGACGGAGGGAGTATAGTTAGTTTCTACTGGGTACAGATCTGACACTTTTTTTTAATATACAAGTATGATTGGTGTTTTTAATTAGGTTAAGTTTGACTCTGATACAATAGACGAGACGGATCAACTTGAAGAGACATTGAAACCTCGCATTGAAACTTTTGGTGGAAAATTAGAGAAGGCTGTCTTAAGTGGTAACCACATTACACCCTGCCTTCAGGTATTATATGTATATGCATCTCTCTTTAGTCCTTTATGGTCTCCTAATTACACATTTTTTTAAGAGTTCACTTTTTCTCTAATTTAATATTTTTCATTACTAGGAACCGAGGTGGGAAGTTGGGAACGTCTATACCCCAGCAGATGCTTTAGGGCAAGTACTAAAGAATGTGTCAGTTAATGACACCAGAAGGCTTGCTACAACCATCACCAACTGGCTTGATCTTCTCTCTCACTAAGTACAGTGTGTTGAGGTTTGGTGGTTACTATTCATTCATGCATCTAAAGTTATATATGCTAAATTATCCATTTGCTAGCTGAGGAATGAACATATTCTTGCTTGGAAATCATTCATCCACAATAGATGGCCCTCTTTTGCAATTATCTTACTGCATTAGTGGCTAGTCTATTAACTTGGAAGTTTGAAGGTAATTGTTTGCATAAGGTATTATGACAAGTGTTTTTAAGTGATGTTTCACAATAATTAACTATGTTTTCATGATAAAAGTAATTAGCCACTAGTTATTTAAATATATAAAGATATTGTGCTATCCTTTACTTTTGAAATATTTTTTCTGATAATTATTTTAATCTTTATTATATTGAGTGGCTGGGAAGACCAATGATCAATTGAAATGTTGATCAACTTTTAAGCATTCATCAGGTCCAACTATAAATGCATCCTTTAAAAGCTACTACATCATCCACCTCTGCTGACATTACAAGCTGCCTTTTGTTTGGAAGTAAAATGTTCATACAGTTAGCCTATGCATACTATCAGAAAATACACAATAAGACGCTACTGTCTCTTTCACTTAGAAAGTGTTGACTTTCCCTTGGAAGATAAAAAGATTGAGTTTGACTCATCCCCTAAACAATATCTCAGAATGAGTTTATTTTCCCGTGAAAGTGCATGCGTGCCTAGGAAACAACCAAATACACCCTAAGGCAAATTCTTGGTTGACTTGCTTCTGCAGACTTCTCTGCTGAGACACCAAACGCGCGTTCTACTGGGTGTTGAAGAAGTAATCAAGCCTCTCGTTGAGTTGATCTCTTCTTCCATTTCCAAATCAGAAGCATTGGTGCCACAAGAGGAGAAAGGGGCATGTTTGTTCATCTGATCAATGAGTGAGTGCCTTCTCACATTGGTCCCCACTGTTGCCCCGCCGTGAAGATGCAATCCTTTTGCTGGGGAATTTGGGTTGCTCAAAATATCTTCTTGCAGAATTGCTCCTATTCTTGTGAGTATGGTATATGCAAGGTTTCCAAGAACCCGGGAATACGCTTCAAGTATTGCATGCCCAATATCCTGTGGTGGAATTCATAAATTGAAGGAAAGAAAGTATACAGAAAAAAGTTATATAAACACAGAAATATGAATGTATAAAAAAATTATTCAATTTGATTTGTCTTTCATTTTCCATGTTAAAACCAAACATTATAAACTTAATCAAATTTGATTTGCCCTTCATATTTTTCAAGTTAAAACCAAACATTAAAATGGTAGGTGATATCCACACCTTGCCATATTGAATCTTCATCATGTCAAGGAATGTATGTGGAAGGTTTGGATATCTAGTTCTGATCTTCCATAGAAGAGCTTCAGCATGATTCAGTGAAACATTGATTACATCAACTACCTCAACTGTTTTTGGATGTTTAATGAAAGACGACCAAAACATTGGAACGCCTTCTGCTTCCTCTGCCATTTTCTCTTTCCACACGAGAATTGCTGCCTCCAACCTGTTTATTGTCTCCAGTGCATTGTGCTCTGTTTTCAGGTTCAGAGATTCAACCATGTCATCAAATGTACCAACTCTTTCTCTTGTCAAAATCTGGTATAGATCCTCTCCCAGGTTTGCCTTGGCAGACTGCAAATGGTGACATTGCCAGAGTTAAAGGTATTAATGTTGTGGGTTGTTAGGTGCTCACTTTTGGGGCTTCTCAGCCGCTTTTCAGTCAATTTATTTTAAAATAGGCATTTTCAACTTCCATCACCATTTTAGTAATTCCAGTCAAATTCATTCTTAGCATCGAGCTCCTGATAAATTTGAAACTATTCACTGTCACTTGATATAGGGGGTGGGCCAGACTAAAAAAGAGATAGTAAAATAGAAACTGCTTGTATTATTTGAATCAAACTTTTCAGAGTGGTTGTTGTAAACTTCTTACCTTTGGAATTGCATCTCTGATGAAAGCTGGAACAGTCATTTCAAGCAAGACATTTTCATTGATAGCTTTAGAAGCTTTCAGTATCTGGTTTACCAATTTACCAGTGTCCATCAGTTTCTTTCTTTCACCATCACATAGCCCTCTCTTTGGCACCTGAGGTGAAGGAAACCACCACCGTTTACTCCTCCCTTCTGCTCGGCTGCTACCCACTTCTGAGTACCAAAACTCCATATTCACCATAGAATCCAGGGTTTCCTATCATTTTTAAATATAATTTAAATTAAATTATTTAGTCAATGCAATGACCAAAGCTCTGTTTGGAAAAATAGCTGATGAGCTCACAGGTGATAAGCCAAAAAGTTCCTGAGCTTATAAGCTTATTAGAAGATCAACACCAAGACACATCACCAAGACACTTTATAAAGATCACCAACAAAACAAGCTTATTTCAGAAGCTTTATATAAAAAACTATTACTCCCTCCGTCCCACTAATATTGTCACATCTTTCTTTTTCGATCCGTTCCACTAAGATTGCCCCATACCAAATTTGGTAAATTTTGTGTGGTTTTAAATCATTCTTACTTTATCAATTCAATATCAACCATATGAACACACTTTTTTTAATAACTGTGCCACCTCTCCATGTCTCAGTGTTAGTGGGACGTATGTAACATATAAGCTAGCTTATAGTGTGCCAAATGAGCCTTTAAACGTGTTTTATATGATATGATAAATCAACCACATACAATAAGCATGGTGTCCAACTTTTGAAGGGCGGGAAGATTCATCTGAACATCAGGACGAGCTTTTGGTGTCATTATCTGCCAAAGCAAGTTATAGAAGAACCTCAGCATTGTTTATATTTCATTATACCTTGTACACTGTATACACTGTGCATGCATTAAGAGAAGAGAAGATGAAAATCACCTCATAAATGCAGCCATTGTCACCATTTTGGGTGGATGGTACCAACTCAACCATATAGTTGGTTGGGGATAGAAACCACTCCATTTCTTGTTGCCATATTCTCTTCTTCTCCTCAGAAAGCGGTTCCAGTTTCCGCAGCTCACCGAAAACAGACGCTGCAAAAATAAAAATGAATTTACACAATTAATATTATTATTAAGTACTACCTCCGTCCCATTTTATGGGTCTTAGTTTGACTTGGCACGGTTATTAATGAAGTGGTTGAAAAAGTAAAAGTTGTGGTTGAGATTTGAATATAATAAAGTGAAATGGTGTAGACCACATATTTCTTTTCCAAAGAGGAAAGTAGACACTTATTTTGGGACAGCCCAAAAAGGAAAGTAGGACAGGTAAAATGGGACGGAGGGAGTATTAACTATAAGGAGAGAAATACAAGACTATAGATAGTGTTAGTGTGTACTCCTTCATGCCACACATCATCTTCAAAATTAGAAGTAAAAAACAAATATTATATGCCTCTCTATCTAAAAAGTAGAGATGTGTTTGAAAACTTACTTTTGTTGCAAAAGAAAAAAAGATTCCTTTCTCAATAAAAGAAGCTCATTTTAGTTGATGAAACATGACCTTTTAGGGACAGAGGTTGTATTATTGTGAGTCAATACCTGGTTTATTCCTATCTCAATTTGGTCCCCAACTTTATTTTAGACTCAAAATGGTTCATGGCTATGCAATTTAGACTCTAATTAATCCTCATGCAAACTTTGGGCTAATTAAAAAGGATTGTTGTGTCCATTACTAAACATAGACCCGATTTCAAATTCATATGGGGCCTCAAGTGTGTATTTTTAAACCTAATGTGGTCATCAACGTATGGAAGTATCATCCTTAGTTACTGCAGAATTTGCATGAGTACTAAAACCGAGTCTGATTGGCATAATCCATGACTAAATTGAGAAATAGAAATAGTTTGTAGTGATTGGGCTGTCCCAAAATTGAGTTGGGTATAAACACACTTGATATATAGTGTAAGAGGAGGTTTACTTGAAAGGTTCAATATGGCATTTGATAAAGCGAGTGCGGTTGAAATCCCATTGCTCCCCCCTGTCATGTCCTCCCCAAGCAACAACTTTGAGAATTTCACTTTCATTGCTTCCACCACAACCAGACACTCAGTTACTTTTTCCTTGGCATAGGTGTGGGGTTGCTGAGGGGAAGGGATTGCTGAGAATTCACACATTTCAGGTTCCCGCTTCATTATAGCCGCTGTCCAATCAGAGGAGGTGAGGAGTGATGATGATTGAAAAGCAGTGTTGTTGCTAGAAGTGTTGCTGCTGCTGCTGCTGGCATCATCATCAAACAAAGAAGAGTCTGTAGTAACGCTTCTGCTAGCGGAGCTTTCATTGCCATCATCACAGGATTGACTTTGCTTGATGCACCTCTCAAGTCCATCATATGTTGTAACTGATGAAACCACCCATACCATTTAGAAAGGCATCATTTGTATCTTAAATGTTTCAGTGTTTTAACTGGCAACATTGCTTACTTGGTCCCGTTCTTTAGCACCAATGATTCCGTAAGTCACAAAGTTTTAGATTTTATCACGTGATGTTTCCTGATTTGGTCTTATTTTCATCACAAATAGGTAAATAGCTGTTACGTTTACAGTATCTAATCAGATAATAATAAATACTACTAACAATACAATTATACAATTGAAACTAACTACTAGCTCCATCCAAAGGTTGACATTGTAAAATGGCACAATTATTTACTACCTCCGTCCCCCTAAGTTTGGGACAAAGGGGTGTGGTTAGGGCTGGACTCGGGCCGGGCGGCCCGACCCGGGACCGAACCGGCCCGGCCCGGCCCGTGGCCCGGTGGGTCCACCGGTTCGGTTTGGCCCGGTCCGGGTGCTGGGCGGTCCGGGCTCGGGCCCAGGTTTTGGTGAACCGGCCCGGCCGGTTCGGGCCCGGTCCGGGCCGGATTTTAAATTTTTTTTTTTTTTTGAAATTTTTTTAAGTTTTAGGTTGGATTAGGTATTTTGGGCCATTTGAGGTGGTTTGGGATGGTTTGGGGTTGAGGGGGAGGGGTAGGGGATTAAATAGGAGAACAAAAAAAAAAAAAAAATTGGGCCGGTTCGGCCCGGCCCGGTTTGGCCCGGAACCGGAACCGGCCACCGGCGGTTTGGGCTCGGGCCTCCCCTTTCCTGGCCCGAGGCCCGGCCGGGCCCAGGCCCGAACCGGCCCGAGTCCAGCCCTAGGTGTGGTGTGGTTTTTAAGAAAAAGTAGAATTGTGTGGTTGATATTAAATTGATAAAGTGTGAATAAAGTAAGAATGAATTCTAACCACTCATATATTACCAAATATGATATGAGACAAACTTAGTGGGACGGACGAAAAAAGTAAAACGGGACAAACTTATGGGGACGGAGGGAGTAGATAATAATTAAATATGATAAATCAAGTATACTTTGAACGATAAAAAAAAAGTATACTTTGAGAAACAACCTTTTGTTAGGTATATAGTATAATGGGGTTAATGGTGATAATTGCAAAGTATGTGATGTTATACATTGTTATTTTTAATATTTGATGATCAAGTTGTCATTTAAGAGTACAGTCCAAGGCGACTGAATATGCATTTTCTACGTTTTATTGGCACCCGCGTTTAAAATCTAGTTCAACAAAAAAAAGACATAAAGCTGTTAGAATATTTTTGGGTAAATCACATATTTGGTTAGCTTGGACCAAAAACGTAGTTGGGGATCAAATGAGCCGGGAAGAGGTCACATAGTATGGAACTATATGGGCCTGCCTAAGCAGGTAAAGGAGAGTCTATTTAGGAGTACTTTTATGGGATATGTCAACATGCTCAATACAGAGCACATTAGCGTAAGATTCATCCATATAAAATTTGAGTTCATTCAGATTATTTATCATGTCAACTTGCTCTTTAGTGAGATGCTAGTGTGTTCCATATATTTACTCACCTATTTAGAGGATTTAGTGCTTGAAAAATGGAAAAAGGAAGCCATCGTGAGTGAGCCGCAGGGGGGGCAAAATGATTTGAAATATACCAAACCAACCAACCAACCACATGGCTCATTTCTGAATAGCAGAAATGTCCAAACAGAGAAGAGGGGAAGCATTTCAAAATTCAATGCCCACTACAAGTGATTCAATGCCTCGTGACCTAAAGTGGAAAAGAAAATTTGAACAAAACCTAACCCCCAAATACTCAAGTAGTCAAGTGGTCCTATCTAAGATGTCCATCCATAAAGTAAAAACAATCATTTACTTCATCGTTATCCATTACTTTGTCTCCTAAGTAAACACTTATAAGGTGTTTTAGTTAGGTTGGTAAGATAGGTGAAGTAAACACGCAAGCTGATTACTAATCGAAAGGGGTGCTTAAAGTGTCGCTTAGCATACCATCTCATGTATTAATTAAACGTCACTTTAAGCTTTTTCAGTTTCCCAATTTACCCTTACACTTACCCCTTGTCCTTGCCATATTGTTAACCCCTCTACCCACCCCGACCCCACGCTTATAGCCCTACCCCGACCCCATACCCTTACCCCCACCCCCACTCGTACCCCTTTACAGTTTACCCCCACCACATGCCTCTACCTTGACCCCGACCCTCCGATCATACCCCACCCTACCTTACCCCGACCCATACACCCCTATCCTACCCCCGACCATAGCCCTTACCCCACCCCCACTCGTACCCCTTTACCCTACCCCGACCATACCCCCTTTACCCCTACCTTGACCCCACCCCAACCCCCTACACACCCATCTACACCGCTACCTTACCTCTACCCCCGCTGACCATACCCCTTACCCCACACCCACCCCACTCATACCACTTTATCCTACCCTGACCCTACCACCTGCCCCTACCTTGACCCCACCCTGACCCCAACCTCTACCCCCACCCGTTAACCCCTTCCCTATCCCGACCCCACCCCTTTACCCCCCACCACCTGCCCTACCTCGACCCCACCCTGAGGTGGTTTCCGAAGGTGGTGATCTGAAGCGGAAGCGGGGGTGGTAGATCACTGGAGGTGGTGGGAGGGGTTCACTATAAGACCGGTAACTTTAAAGGGTTGCGGTGGGTAATTGTAAATGGTTTGGCCAGGGTCAATGTAACAGATCGGTCGGTCGGGTAACTGTAACTGATCGGATGTGATAACAATAATTGGTTGGATCGGTTAACTCTAATTGATCGGGTCGAGTAATTGTTAATCGTCAGACTTGTGTAATCGGGAGAGGGGTGTAATAGTCATATATATCTCTTCTTTGGAAATATTTAAAATGAGTCTCATTTATGTTCATGAATTTTCATTTAATAATATTAGTGTAGAACCCCTAATTAATACGTAGTATTAATCTGGACTTGATAATAATAAAATTTCAAAAAGGAAAATGTCACTTAATCTTCTGTCTATATTTTGAGATAGATAGACAGATAAATAGTTTGGTCCAATCATCTTCTAAGTTTAGGAAATTCATATATCCATTGAGGTGAGGTGATGGGTCACTATGGGTGGGAGTGGATCAAACTAGCCGTCCAGTCCAGTGCAGTGCAGTCCGCACAAACAATAATTCATTCAAACAAGCCAATTGGTTTCGCCACTAATGTCTGAGCAGGGAAGGACTCTTCTTTGTTCCCAAAAATAAAATGTTCTACTTTTTGTAATACTAATGCTGAATAAAGAATAACAACAACAAAATGTCTATTTTATGTGCAAATGAAAAATGTATTTCCCATACAATAAGCTATGCTAGTTTATAATAAGATTAATTGTAGATAGACAGAAATAGAAACTGGCAACTATTTCAAGCAAGAAAACAGTTTAACTTTTTATAAAAGCGTTTCTCATCATAAATATCAAGGAGATGCATGGCAAGCTACTAGCTAGCTATTAGACATAAGACACGCGCGTGTGTGTGTTTGTTTTGTGTGGATTTGGGTAAGACTAATAAAAAGGAAAGGATAGATGCATGAGAAAACTAACCGATTATTACTCACCTCTGTTTTGTTCATCAAAGTCGATGCTTATCATTCTTTTGTGTGGAGTGCAACATAGTCCCCTTCGCCTCATCATACCTGCGCCCGGCACTGTTACAACTAATTAATTACCGTCCCGTTGGAAGGTTCCCATACACGGTTATTTATGCAATAATTAAATAAAGTACTTCGTGTACATTTTGAGATATAATTTTAATAGGTATATATTATAATGTAGTTAGTATTGATAATTGTGATGTTATAAATGTATTATTTTTAATATTTAATGATTAATTTGTCACTTAAGATTGTTAATTGTTTCCTAAAATGGAAATGAGAACCTTTATATGGGACGTCCAAAAAAGGAAAGTGGGAACCTTCTATCGGGACGGAGGGAGTATATTATTATACACTGATAATGCTGCTGCACTCAAACTCTTTTGGGAGTGAGGTAAGGCTTGTGTGTTGTTGTTGTAATGATAATACATTTAAAGAAAGCGCAAGAAAGAAAGAAACAACACACACATATCTTATAGAGAGAGAGAGAGCAAATTCCTGTTTTAGAATTTTTTGATGAAATTATTTGATCATATTCCTCGTCAAGTCTAGTTTATGCATACTAAATTTCAGCTCAAAATTCGATTGGGAAGGCACTCAAATATACTAAACATACTACGCATTCTGTTTGACTGCCTTCCCGATAGAATTTTGAGCTGAAATTTGGTATGCATTAACCAAACTTGATGAGAAACATGCTCAAAAAATGTCATCAAAAATTTCCACCGGGAAGACCCTCATATGGGCAAATCTGCACGGAGCTACCATCAGGCGCGCTTGACCAGAAAAGGACTATATATATATATATATATATATAGATAAGATAGAAAGGAAAAAAAAGATAGATAAGATAGATAGTGTTCTCACTGTGATCAATATATAACCACACACATGAGGAGGTAAATTTAGAATTCTCCACTATAGCTCCTATGGAGTACTAGCTTAGCTTCCTACACAACTTTTCTTAGTGGGAGTAATACCCAAAAAATGGTCAAGTTAGTTTTGAGAAAATTAAAAGTGCGTGGTCCCAAACCCTAAAAGTCAACACAAAATAATGTTCTGGGTTTAGTGGGTATTGAAATTGAAAAACAGACTAGAGCTTTTTCGCATACTTTTCATTGATTTAACTTTTTTAGATCTAACTCGTGAACCAAAATGTGGTATTTGCTTACTTACTTAATTCACAAATAATTGCTCTCTACTTTCTTTAAACAACTTCTTCATATACGGGACGCGGCTTCAATTCCGTTTATAAATTAGCTGGATTTCAAAGTTCCGCTTATCTAGGTATTATTTGGTATAAACACTGAACTAAAATAAATTCAGAGTAATAACCCATCATATTGTTAATTTATTCGCTCATGATTTACCGCCCAAAGCTAAAACTTGTTTTATGTAAGTAATAAAACGAGGAATGTAAAATTTTGATTTTTGGAAAAAATGGTTTATATTTTTTGGCGAAAAAACCAACTATTATTCATCAAATGGTTCAGAGCTTTTCTGGCCAAACAGATGTTAGCAAGCAAATACGAGTATGTAATAATATCTATCATCCATGAACATGTGAGACATAAGTGCGTAAAAATTTTAAATGGCCTGAGATGTGTAAGGAAATGAAGAGGGCAAGCAGTAAGAAAAGCTAGCAGATACCTGTGATTATCGAGGAGCTAAACAACCTTAGACTAAGGAAGAAAACACCATTTCAAGAGAGAGAGAGGGGTCTTTGTAAGAAGCAAGCAGAGAGTGAAGAAGATGGATATATACGGAATTTTTTAGTTTAGTCAATCAATAAATAAAAGTGAAGGGGTAGTTAAATATGGATGCCCTGGAGAAGATTGCAGCACACAGACGCAACAATTGAAAAACTACCCTACATAGAATGATAGAATTCAATGTGCATTTACTAGGACCAAACTTGTCCTCAGTTATCCAAATTAAAATTTCAGATCTGTATTTCTGAAATTGTAAATATCACTCCTCAATTGTCCAAAATGTTGTAAATGTAATCCTTTTGAGGGGTGAAATATACAATGTGGGCGAGACTGCGAGAGTACATTTCACAATGTGGTCCTTTAGCAATGCTCTCATGCCTATCAGAAACAATCATCATTCCATTCTTATAACCAAAAGCTTCTCTAATATTCAAGAAAAACCATTTCTAGGATGTTGGGGAGTGTTTGCAACTGCTTATGCTTAAAAAAAACACTTTTGGAGTGATTTGAAAAAAGTGATTAGTAGTAAAAGTTGATAGTGTTTGAGAAAAAAGTGATTTTGAAAAGTAAAAGTTGGTAGTGTTTGGTAAAATAAGTGTTTTTTGTGTAATTGAAAAGGGAAAAACACTTCACACGCAAGCCGAGAAAAAAGTAAAAATTGGTAGTGTTTGGTAAATAAGTGTTTTTTAAGCCAAAAGCTGAGAAGTGCTTTTTTTAAGCTGTTGTAAACACTCCCTTGATGTTGTTAACAGTGTGCCCCCATATCTCCCGATCAGAAACGTGACGTCAACTACTATAATCGGTCTGCAGAGTTTCTAGCCCTGAATTGATGCATTGAATGCCATGAATGCATATAAAAAAAATATTGTCTTCAATAACTTTGATTTCTAGAAAAGATCCAGGATTTGTTTGTTTCACAATACTCATGAATTGTTGCAGAAACATGTAGGACTCTTTGCTTTTCCTCTTAGCTTAATCAGTGTCTTTTCTTTTGTTCTCCACACTTTTAAGTAGCTTATTTCAATGTCATACTCCTCTAACATATCTCTATGTACATCCATTGCAATATATGACGTTTTTGGATCCACTAATTTAGACTTAATACAGTCTGCTACCAAACTAGATGTTGTATGTCTTTGATATGTTAACCTGACTTCCAATCTACAAGAATGTGTTTTTATAAACTTCACAACAATGACATTCCCAAGGTTCCAGTTTGTCCTGATCGTATCTCCCAACTACACTTTTCATGCAAGCATTTTGCTACAAAATACTACTTATTTGTCTTATGTGCCTTGTACTGGAAGTGATTTTTGATAGCATACATCTTAAGTGCTTTGTTGATCTCATCCTTGTTGATGTAAATCAGTACTTCTTCAGGATCTACATCATTGCTAATGCAATTTGTTGATGCTAACTCCACACATTTTTGTTGCAGTAGTACTTCAGTGGTTTTATTTGTCCAAGCTAATATAAAACCATTAATGTCCAACTCTTCACCAATTGTTGAGCTATCTCCAGACATTGTCACTGCTTGCAGACTACTTAGCTTGTTTCTTCTTGTTGATATCCCCCAAGAAACATGTTACAAGTTGTTTCTTCATGCACATCAGCAAGGGTGATACATAGAGGGAATTTGGTGACATATATATCTTGTTTCTTAAGGTGTAGATAAAACAACAGACCTAAGTTATCTTGTATCATCCATGGTGGATAATTCTATCTGACTTTGTATTGAATTATCAATGTAGTTGATGGTCTTTCTATTCCAATCCGGTCTCCAATCTTTGTAATCAGCTCAAGATAAGAACTGTTTGTAGCTAAAGTAATTCCAAACACATTGAAGTTCACATACTCCATTGCTTCATTCCAACGACCATCGTGATGAACAAAAATAGGAACTGTTTCCATGTTTCCTGTTATTAATAATACACATCGTTTGTTCTTAAAGAACTACAAATAAGTGTACAGAGTATTGTAATTTCCAGAAACAAAAACAAAATTTATTCATTCATCAGTTTAATTTGCAAAAAACAGAACAAATTATTCCTCAGCAATTATTCAAAAACAGAAACAAAACTTACATTCATAATTTCACACATTGAAGTCACTAAACGATGTCTATCTTCATGCTCAAAAACGCGATCAAATTGGTTCTCATATAGCTAATAATCGCACCTTGGTTTCTCAGTAGAATTGGAGATAGCTAATCGTACTTTGCAATTACCTGGTAATTTTGACACAGTCTCAGAAAACACGATCGAATTTGTGCTCAGAAAACGCGATCACGTTAAGAAGAGTTGAGATCTTTCGATTTGTTTGCAACTCAGAACTTGCAGTTCGGCAGTTACGCGCTCTGGAAACGACAGGTAGCTATGAGTTTCTAATTTGGTTATGTTTATATATTGGTTTTTTTAAAACAACATATTACATAGCTTATTTTTGAAACATGAAACTAGATTGTAAAAAGTGATATTACTTCCCTTATTATGGTTGGTCGTGAAAATTTCCCTATAAATTGTCTTTGGCCATACGTAGTGGGAATGCTTAAGAGTCCAAAATGTAAAATATGGAAATTTTAGACTCCTACGAGTATATATTGCAGCACATTGGAGCAAAGGGAAAGTGGAAATGCGGAGGGGAGAGGCTGTTATGAATGGGATCGATAGAAAAACGTGATAGGAAAGACAAAAGGTCGGAGACATAGATAGTTGCGGTCGAGAAAAAGTCGTTCCATTTATTGAAAGTTATCGCTCTTTCTGTACTCCAATTTTTAAAAAAAGTATATCAAAATTCATAATTTTTAAGATCTTTCATATGACACCTATATTGCATATATAAAGGTTTTTTAAAAATTGATACTCCGTCTGTTAATTGCTAGAGTATTTCAGGCTAAAAAACTACACGGAACACTAATGTTTAATTAATGGCTCTACAAAGAGTGTTTGCCCTTTTTGGTCCCCCGACTATTATGCCAATGACACTTTTGGTACTCGTCTTCTAATTTTTCCATTTCTAGTCCTCGACTATTGTGCTAGAGACACTTTTAGTCCTTGACTTCAAGGTTTCCCACATTTAGTCCTTGAGTATTGTCAAATTGACACTTTTAGTCATCTCATTATGCTTTTGACACAATAAGTGGAGCATTAAAATGTCACTATTATAATAGTTGAAGGATAAAAAATGTCACTTTTATGAAAGTTGAAGGACTAAATATGAAAATTTTCAAAGACGGGCACCAAAAGTGTCTCTATCGCAATAGTCAAGGACAAAAAATGGAAAAAATCAAAGTCGAGTACCAAAAGTGTCAATGACATATTAGACGGAGGACTAAAAGTGGAAAAAACTCCCTCTACACATAACCAAACTCTATGTGAACCAAGTTTATGTAGTACTCCCTCCGTCCCATAAAACTGTTCCCGCATTGACTTGGATCGGAGTTTAGGAAGGTGAGAATAAAGTGGAAATGTATGATTGTGGTTGTGTAAGAAAAAGGTAAATGAATGTGAGCGACACAAAACTTTCCAAAAGTAGAAATGAGAACTATTTGTTGGGGCGGCTCAAAAAGGAGACTGAGAACTATTTTGCGGGACGGATGGAGTATTTTATTTCATGTGTTCAAAATGTGCATTTTTTAATTCATGAGTAATTAAGGAAAATAAATCAAACCTTTAACTTTACTTCTCTAATAATTAGTTTTGTGTTGGAGCCGATTTTTTCTTCCCCTAGGGCTCACCGCCACTGGGGTCTCGTTTCTTCCATAGGGCTTATCGCCGCTGGGGTTCGTTTCCCGTTTTCGTTTATTAACAAAGAACGGTGCTTAGGTTGTGGTGAAGGCGAACGACGACAGTGGTCTGTGCTTCGTCGGAAGGGCTCGGTCGCGGCTTGGGTTTGGCCAAAAAGGAAGATGCAGGGGACGAACGAAGGGAGGGGATCTCCATGTCAGGAGAAGTCGACGCTGTGATTACGGACCGGAAGATCAGCCTTCCGGGGTTCCAAGATCTGATGGCATCTGTTTGGCGCCTGGGGAAATCGCTTTGGTGCAACAACAATGATGAAGAAGGGGCCGTCGAGTCAGAGGAAAATCGCTTTGGGGCAACAACAATCGTTGCGAGGGTCCGGCCTCCCCCAAAACCACCGCCAAAGGTTAATCGCCGCATTTTGGAGTTTGCTTACTTATCTTTTCTGCATTTTAATTTCCAAGTTAAAACGTTTGTGTTTTGTTGTTATTTTCTTTTATGCTAACTCTTGCATTAGGTTTGGGGGATGAGAGGTATACGATAATCGTCAATGGCTGTTTGTTGCCCAATTTAGGTATAACGAGTTATATTGCTTTGTCAAATGTGATTAACTCAGAGTCTCGGCCAAGGGCAAATTGTTATATGTTGTCCTTTTGTTATCATGTACCCCTGCTGAATGCTACTCCGTATTTTATTAATTTAAAGCCACTTTGACGAAAAAAAAGAAAAAAGGAAAATAAATCAAAGAAAAAATTGATTATAATAATTTTTAATGTTTAAATAAAATGATATGTAAAAAATATGTTGAGGATATTCTTGGTCTTTTTTTCATTAATATTACCAAATTAAATTGAAAAGATAAAAATATGACTTGTGTTAAAAATTTCTGAAAAGTGATATTTAGTGATTAGTTATTAGTGAGTCATCATCTATGAATGACTTTTCACTTTGAATGACTTTTCACTTTGAAATATATTATAATATTGTTCATACACAATGATTAGTCATATTTTATCTAAAAATATAATTAGGAATTTTTTTGTTCGGGAAAATCGTGTTGGTAATATAAATGTCATTTTTATTCTATTTTCCAATTTGCACCCCGCCACGTCAACCGTCCGCGGCTCCACGTGCTTTCCAATCTTCGCCCTCGTTCGCTAAAGAACTGTTTTCATCGTCGTCTTCTCCGAGTATCATCTTCTGGCTCCTCTGCTGCTAATCCCTCGCGCGCTTTCCCGTCTACCCGACACCATCTTCCACACTTACAATTATATACATAAGTTAAGCACCAAGCCCTTGGAGATCTGTCTTGACTACACCAGACTATATCTGTATAAGATCGCCCAAGATTGAAGCCCTAAACCCTGCAATTCGTCTGAGCTTCGGACTCCAATTCTAATATTAAATTTTGGATCCGATTTAAGTAAAAAGGAATCGGGTTTAGGAGGAAAGTTTGATCATACTTTCAAGCATTGGCCAGCTATCGAAGATGGAGCAGCTGAAGACAATCGGACGGGAGCTCGCAATGGGATCACAAGGAGGGTTCGGTCAGTCGAAGGAATTCCTGGACCTCATCAAGTCGATAGGAGAGGCTCGATCCAAGGCCGAAGAGGACCGAATCGTCCTCAACGAGATCGAAACCCTCAAGCGCCGCATCGTGGAGCCTGATATCCCCAAGAGGAAGATGAAGGAGTTCATTATGCGGCTCGTCTATGTTGAGATGCTCGGCCACGATGCATCTTTCGGGTACATCCATGCAGTAAAGATGACACACGATGACAGTTTGCAGCTTAAGAGAACTGGATATCTTGCCGTAACATTGTTTTTGAATGAGGACCACGATTTAATCATCTTAATCGTGAACACAATTCAGAAGGACCTCAAGTCTGATAACTACTTGGTGGTTTGTGCAGCACTTAATGCTGTATGCAGGTTGATTAACGAGGAGACAATCCCTGCAGTGCTGCCTCAAGTGGCAGACCTATTAGGGCACCCCAAGGAGGCGGTTAGGAAGAAGGCTGTCATGGCACTCCACAGGTTTTACCAGAAGTCTCCATCTTCTGTACTCCACCTCGTCTCCAATTTCCGGAAGGTGCACCCTTTTATTTATCAGAGTATATTAAATTACTGGTGATATGAAAGGCTTTAAAGCCAGGATAAGCTTGCATTGCACTCTTTATTATATGTAGTATTTATTTATTATAATGTCATATGGATTGCAATAAAACGATCCTTTCTAGCATCAACGTTAGTTGTTTAATGAATTGCCCTTACTTTGTCCACTTTGAGTAGATGTTGAATGGAAAAAGAATTTGGGGAACTGAAGTGATACAAGATTTTATTAGTTATGAGAGTGTTTGGCGAGTGTGTTTGAGTGAGCTCAATTTTAATAACAATGTGCATTGTCTGAAAAAATGTTCTTTATGGTTTTATCGAATATTGCATAATGTAATTTTCACTTGAACTTAAGGGTATGTTTGGATCGTGGGAAATGGTAAGGAAAGGATAAAGCTAATGAAAGTTTTTTTAATGTTTTAGCTTCACCATGGAAAATTCTCAGGAATTTGAAATAAATTTTATTTTTAAAAATGATTTATTTAAATTTCTTAGATTTTTCTATAATGGAAATGAAGAGGGCAGTTCATATCAGGCCGGCCTGATGGGAACCGTCGTCAGGCCGAGACCATTTGGAGCCCTTCTCTGTGAATTTTTTTGCTGAAATTTTTTGAGCATGTTCCTCATCAAGTCTAGTTTATTCATACCAAATTTCAGCTAAATATTCAATCAGGAAGGCAGTCAAAAAAATTCCATACAAAAACTGTGCTTTATATATATATATATAAACAACGCAGTTTTCGTAGGGATTTTTTTTGACTGCCTTCCCGATTGAATTTTTTACTGGAAATTGGTATGGATAAACTAGACTTGATTCAGAACATGCTCAAAAAATTTCATCAAAAAGTTCCACCGGGAAGGGCCCCAAAAGCCCTCGGCCGGATGGCGAGTCGGCCTGACAGGATCGCTACTCTGGAAATGAATAAACAAAGTAAGTTTGAACAAATATAGAAAACCATAGTATTGAGTTTGAGTCTATCTTTTATTATCTACCGTGTTTTCTTTCCTTCTAGTTATCTTCTCTGTATTCCTTCCTACTATCTTTTCATGGTATTTATTATGTTTTTAACTTATCCTAAAGGTTCCCAAATGTTTATATTGTTGCAGAAACTCTGTGATAGTGATCCTGGTGTTATGGGGGCTACTCTCTGTCCTCTTTTTGATCTTATCTCATTTGATATTGATTCCTATAAAGATCTAGTAGTTAGCTTCGTGAGCATTCTCAAGCAAGTAGCTGAAAGGAGATTGCCAAAGAGCTATGATTATCATCAAACACCTGCTCCATTCATTCAGGTACATGTATAAGTGTATATAGATAGAATTAAATGCCTCTGATTACAATAGCAACACATATTTGTTCAGTTTCATATTATCTTATAAGTGTGTGTGTGTTATCCAGGTTAAGATGATTAAGATTTTCCTATAAATATATTATCTTCACTGTAAATGTACAGATCAAATTGTTGAAGATTTTGGCACTATTGGGGTCTGGTGACAAAAAGACAAGTGAACACATGTATACAATGGTTGGTGAAGTAATGAGAAAGTGTGATTCTACAACTAATATAGGAAATGCCATTTTGTATGAATGCATTTGTTGTGTTGCCTCCATCCATCCTAATCCCAAGCTATTGGAGTCTGCAGCAGATGCAATTGCCAAATTTTTGAAGGTTCGTCTTTGAAAGTTTTGTCAGTGTTGTCTTGAGATTTCTATTTTTTTAAATGGTATCCCGTAGTAAAATTTATACTGAATTTCTATTGTTTATGTGATGGACAGAGTGATAGCCATAATCTCAAGTATTTGGGCATTGACGCTCTTGGAAGGTTGATAAAGATTAGCCCAGAAATTGCTGAGCAACATCAGCTGGCAGTGATAGATTGCTTAGAGGTGAAGATTGTTCTTTCCCAATTGAACTCAAGTATGAAATTTCAGTTGCTGGTACTATGGGATGCTCATTATGACCTTTTCTTTCGTAACCCTTGGTGTCAACCTATTGGACCATATAACCTTTATGGCTTAATTTGTATATTTTTCACGTAATCATTGGTGCATAGCGTGGATGAATTAGCTTTATATTTTTTTGTACATTTAAATGCTTATTTGGTTGAACTTAATTTGACACTTATCATCTTCAAAAGTATAAATTTAGCAACATACAAGAGCCTGTGCTTTTAAAAATTGAGTCCATCACACGAGTCATGGCGTAGGCAGTGAATCGGGTTCATAGTGAAAGTTGCTAATCTGGCGGAAATGCTCTTGAGATCAATTCACGCCAATCTGGCGGAAATGCTCTTGAGATCAATTCACTTGAGTAAGTTAGACATTGAATTATTCAATGTCTGAACTTGTCAACATGCATAATAATTAATCCTCTAAAAAGTAATTTATTAATGAATATCAAGTATACTTATATAGCTATTACAAGAGAGTTAATCATAATAGGAAATGTAAACTGAAATTGGAAACGACAGCAACAATGATAATAATAGGACTGCTTGCTTGATATGTTAGACAACCTCACTGGACTTGGTTGTGGCTTCTCTTCAATCATTCTCAGCTTGCTCCATGTCTCGGTATTATTTCAAACTATGAAAGACATTAGAATATACTTTAGAATATACCTTAGAGTATACTTTAGAATATACTTTAGAATATTCTTCTATCCTTAGAATATACTTTAGAATATTATAGGAATATACTCTAGAATATTATTATTGTATAGAATCTTATAGGAATATTCTATCTTTGTAATGCATATTTATAGGGACTTAACCCTCCAATGAACGACAGAAAATCATTCTCTTCTCATTACTATTCTATCCTTAATTCCGATAACATGGTATCAGAGCCTATCTGTTCCATTTTAGCTTAGTTTCCATTTTTATTTTTTTCTTTCAGAACCTCAGTTCACAGAACATCAGCCTATACCAACCCCAGAACCTTAGTCCAGAACCTTAGCCCAGAACCCATCTCACCTTCACCCTACACTGGTGCGCCTTCTTCCGGCGACCAGACAGTTGGAATCCGCACGTCCCAATCACCACGAGTGACCTACACGCGCCACCCTAAAGTCTCACAGCTTGCGCACGCGCCGGCGCGTGACGACAACCTTCTGACCGGAGCTTCGAACGGAAACCCTCTCCAGACTCGTCGGAGCTTCCTCTAGCAACACCCAGGTATACTTCTTCATAATATTGGAAGCCTGCTTCATGCTTTCATGACGTCCTGGTGCTAGGCGGAAGGGCTGTGTTCTAACTTGGACCATAAACGAAAAAGGCTGTAAGTTCATTTAATGTTTTATTTCTGAAAAAAAACAAAAACAAAAAAAACAAAAAAAAAATGCCCGGTTCTGACGCCGATAGCTCTGCAGTAACACAAAGTCGGCCTTTGATAGATTCTGAAGTTATTCCCATTAATTTTAAAATTAATGAGAATAAACTTTGTGGCTCCAATTATCTTGAATGGAGTAAAACTATCAAACGTTATTTAAGGAGCATTGTAAATATACCCACTTAGTTGATGATCCGCCAAAGGAGGAAGTTGATAAAGCTGCTAATGATGCCTGGCTTCGTGATGATTCAAGATTATTTATCCAGATTCAGAACTCCATGGAGAACGACATCATGGGGTATGTTAATCATTGTGATATTGTGAAAGAACTGTTTGATTATTTGGAATTTATGTATTCAGGCAAAGGTAATCTTAATCACATCTATGAGGTGTGCAAAGCCTTTTACAGAGCAGAAATGAAAGATAAGCCTCTCATGGCTTATTTTATGGATTTCAAGAAAACTTATGAAGAGCTTAATACATTAATGCCATTTAGTCCTGATATCAAAGTGCAGCAGAAACAACGAGAACAAATGGCGGTTATGAGTTTTTTGGCTGGTCTTACGACTGATTTTGAAACAGCCAAATCACATATCTTGTCTGGTGATGCGGTCTCTACTCTTCAAGATGCTTTCAGTAGAGTTCTTCCACATCACCAGCACCTCAACCAAGCAATGCTTTTGTAGGGCAGGTCCCAACATTCCCCAAAGAAGGTGAGAAATGGCCACGCACTGGATCGATTGGCAAAGGAGTAGTATGCAACTACTGTAAGAAACCCGGACACTTGATCAAAGATTGTCGAAAACTAAAGTTCAAAAATCAAGGAAATCAAGTTGCTCACATTGCTTCCGCTACACAGCCATCTGATGGCTCCATCATTATGTCTTCTGAGGAATACACCAAATTTCTTTGCTACCAGGAGGCTCTAAAGCATTCATCTACTCCTATCTCAGCTGTCGCTAATTCAGGTAATCCAAACACATGTCTTGTGTCTTCATCCTCAAAACGGGTTATCGATTCAGGGGCAACAGGTAATCCTGGTCTTTTTTCCTCATTCCACACACCTCTTCATACTTCTAGTGTTACTTTGGCTGACGGATCTATGTCACCAGTTCTTGGAACGGGTACAATTGTCCCAACATCTACCTTACCTTTGTCACCCGTCCTAAGTCTTCCAAATTTTGCTTTTAATTTGATTTCGATCAGCAAAATCACACGTAATCTTAATTGTTCTGTAACCTTTTTTCCTGGATATTGTGTATTTCAGGATCTGTTGACGAATCGGGTTATTGGTAAAGGATATGAGTCGGTTGGTCTCTATCTCTTGGATACATCCATCCCTAAATCCATCTCTTGTCTTGGTGTTGGAACTGTGTTAGAGGCTCACTATCGACTAGGACATCCCTCTCTCCCGTTGTTAAAGAAACTTCATTCTCAATTTAATAAGGTGTCATCTTTACAGTGTGATTCATGTCAATTTGCAAAACATCATCGAACTAGTTTAAGTCCCCGAGTCAATAAACGAGCACACGCTCCTTTTGAACTTGTTCATTCTGATGTTTGGGGCGCTTGCCCTGTTGTGTCCAAAACTGGTTTTAAATATTTTGTTACCTTTGTTGATGACTATTCTCGTATGACTTGGATATATTTCATGAAACGTCGTTCTGAGCTATTCTCTCATTTTTGTGCCTTTTGTGTTGAAATTAAAACTCAATTTAATGTACCTGTTTGTATTTTAAGGGGAGACAATGCTCAAGAATATTTGTCAACCTCATTTAAGTTGTATATGGCTCACAATGGCACAATTCATCAAACTTCATGTGTAGACACACCTCCCCAAAATGGAGTTGCTTAACGAAAGAACAGACATCTATTAGAAACTGCGCGGGCACTTCTGTTCCAAATGAATGTGCCTAAACATTTCTGGGCGGATGCTGTGTCTACCGCATGTTTTTTGATAAATAGAATGCCATCTACTGTGTTGGATGGTAAAACTCCATATCAGTGCCTATTTCCAAATACTGAACATTTTCCTATCCCTCCTAAAATATTTGGTTGCACTTGTTTTGTCCGAAATGTTAATCCCCATTTAACAAAATTAGATCCCAAGTCATTAAAGTGCATTTTCTTAGGCTACTCTCGAGTTCAAAAGGGTTATAGATGTTTTTGTCCAAGTACGGGTCGATATCTTGTTTCAATTGATGTCTCCTTTTATGAAAATACACCTTTTTCATCAACAGAGACAAATATTTGTAGGGAGAATGATGACATACTCATTTACACAGTCACCGAGTCCACTGCTTCAGCCATTGTTCCACATGTTACTTTTCCTGAGCCTAAGCCCCCAGTACACTTGGTATACACCCGTCGAAACAAAGTACAAGATCACCCTCCACCTGTGGTTACCTATCCTGATACTGATCCGATCTCGCTCTCATGTCCTGAACCGATACCTGCCTCTCCAGATCCTGCCTCTACATCAGATCTTGACCTCCCTATAGCACTTCGTAAAGGTACACGGTCTTGTACTCATCCTATTTCTTCATTTGTGTCGTATAATCAGTTATCATCTGCCTCATGTTCTTTTATTGCTTCCATTGATTCTATTTCTGTTCCCAAATCTGTTAAAGACGCTTTGTCTCATCCTGAATGGCGTCATACCATGGTAGAGGAAATGAATGCTTTGGATCTTAATGGTACTTGGGATTTGGTAGACTTGCCTACAGGAAAGAAATCTATTGGATGTAAGTGGGTCTTCGTTGTAAAGGTTAACCCTGACGGATCCGTTGCTCGATTGAAAGCCCGATTAGTGGCGAAAGGTTATGCTCAAACCTATGGTGTCGATTATTCTGACACATTTTCTCCTGTTGCTAAATTAACATCTGTCAGGTTACTTATTTCTCTCGTTGCAACTAATGGTTGGCACTTACATCAGTTGGACATTAAAAATGCATTCTTGCACGGTGATCTTCAGGAGGAAGTTTATATTGAGCAACCTCCGGGATTTGTTGCTCAGGGGGAGCATGGAAAAGTGTGTCGACTTCGCAAGTCTCTTTATAGTTTGAAACAGAGTCCCCGTGCATGGTTCGGAAAATTCAGTCAATCAATTGAATGATTTGGAATGATAAAAGGCAAATCAGATCACTCTGTATTTTACAGACAAACGAAAGCAGGTATCACATTGCTTGTGGTGTATGTCGATGATATTGTGATTACAGGGAGTGATAATGCAGGTATTTTGGCCCTTAAGAATTTTCTTCATAGTCAATTCCAGACAAAAGATTTGGGCTCATTAAAATACTTCTTGGGGATTGAGGTTACAAGGAGTAAGAAAGGCATATTTCTATCTCAGCGTAAATATGTGCTTGACTTGCTAACTGAAACAGGGAAATTGGGGGCAAAGCCGAGCAATACTCCCATGATTCCTAATGTACAGCTCACTCATGAAGGTGTGCCATTCGAAGATCCGGAAAGATACAGAAGGTTGGTTGGAAAGCTTAACTATCTCGCAGTTACCCGTCCAGATATTGCCTACTCAGTCAGTGTAGTAAGTCAATATATGTCATCTCCGACAGTTGATCATTGGAATGCAGTAGAGCATATATTATGTTACTTGAAGGGGACACCAGGACGAGGTATTGTTTATCAAAATCATAATCACATGAGAATAGAATGCTTTGCAGATGCTGATTGGGCTGGATCTAAAGATGATAGGAGATCCACATCTGGCTATTGCGCCTTTGTTGGTGGTAATCTCGTCTCTTGGAAAAGTAAGAAAAAAAATGTGGTTTCTCGTTCGAGTGCTGAATCAGAATATCGGGCTATGGCACAATCGGCATGTGAGATAATCTGGATAAACCATTTGCTGAGTGAAATCAGATTGAAGACACCAATGCCTGCTAAACTCTGGTGTGATAACCAAGTTGCTATACACATTGCCAACAACCCAGTGTTTCATGAGAGAACAAAACATATTGAGGTCGATTGTCACTTTGTTCAAGAAAAGATACAACAAGGATTGATCTCTACAGGATATGTGAAGACTGGAGAGCAACTTGGAGATTTGTTCACTAAAGCATTAAATGGAATTAGTGTTGGTTATTTATGTAACAAGTTGGGCATGATAAATATCTATGCTCCAACTTGAGGGGGAGTGTGAAAGACATTAGAATATTCTTCTATCCTTAGAATATACTTTGGAATATTATAGGAATATACTCTAGAATATTATTATTGTATAGAATCTTATAGGAATATTTGTAATGTATATTTATAGGGACTTAACCCTCCAATGAACGACAGAAAATCATTCTCTTCTCATTACTATTCTATCCTTAATTCCGATAACACAAACCACCAAACACCTTTGTCCAGTTCCCGATATGTATGGCCATAGAAGCCTCCTGCAACATCTTGTTTCATATGGTTCCACTTAGTGGTACTCATCGAAGAAAATTTCACCATTCTCCTAGTTTCCTGGATAAATCTTAACAATAGTCTTGAAATATAGTTACATTTAACTATGAATTGACTGACATATCAATTTCATACTATGACTCTGAATATTGTGAATGTTGACTTAAAACTGAGTCCTTGGTAATTATTACTGCTTGTTCTTAACTTCTTGTTGCTACTGCTACTACTACTAAAGTACTACTATCATTATAAATATTATTATGATTGGGGGGGGGGGGGCTTATGACTGAAAAAAGTAGTTTTTATGTTACGACAAAACAGGATCTACGTCATTTGAATTACCCATTTGCTCTCTTTATTGACTCTGTATGTAAGTTAATAGTGATAATTATGTAAGTACCTTTTCTAAGCACCTTGTTGGTTCCTTGGTGCTTACTAAGTGAGAATACAGAGAGTACTTAATAAAAGTTCCCCTTTTCTCGTTTACAACAAAAAGCATATTTAGTTTTAAGTAAGTATGTACCGCTTTCCTTATTTATTTCCTTATTTATTTCCTTATTTATTTATTTATTTATTTATTTATTTATTTATTTATTTATTTATTTATTTATTTATTTATTTATTTATTTATTTATTGATTTATTTATTTATTTATTTATTTATTTATCTATTTATCTATTTATCTATTTATCTATTTATCTATTTATCTATTTATCTATTTATTTATTTATTTATTTATTTACTTACTCCCTCCGTCCCTAATAACTTTGCCAAGTTGGACCGGCATGTGGAATAGTAAAGTAAAATCTGTGTGGTTAATATTTGTGTAGAGGAGAGATAAATCATAGGAACCAAAAATTAATTGCTCAAAAGGAAAAAATGACAAAGTTTTAGGGACAACCAAAAAAGGAAGATAGCAAAGTTACAAGAGACGGAGGGAATTTTTATTTTTAATTAATTTATTTATAATTAATTTATTTGTTTGTTTCTCATTTATTTATTTACTTACAGTACATGCTTTATTTTGCTCAGTTACGCTTAATTTGAATATCAACATGCTGAATGCTGCAGGACCCAGATGACACCCTGAAGCGAAAGACTTTTGAACTTCTATACAAAATGACAAAATCATCAAATGTGGAAGTGATTGTTGACCGCATGATTGATTACATGATAAGCTTAAATGATACCCATTACAAAACTGAAATAGCATCTAGATGTATCGAACTTGCAGAACAATTTGCCCCAAGCAATCAATGGTTTATCCAGGTTATTCAGTAGTGCCAGATCCTACCTCTTCTGTCTTAATAATAACTGCTGCTGCTGCTGCTACTTTTGACTTCAGAGTTCAGACTATCTGCTGCATCTTATTTTTCCCAATTGCAGACTATGAATAAAGTATTTGAGCACGCAGGAGATCTAGTTAACATAAAGGTTGCACATAACTTGATGAGGCTAATAGCCGAAGGGTTTGGAGAAGACGATAATAGTGCTGATAGTCAGCTGAGATCTTCTGCTGTATGTGATTTTTCTATCTTATGACTATCAATTGTTATTTGTGTATTTTTTGTTTCTGGAAAAAGTTACTTAGACTAACTTTGTAATTTCATACAATTAAGACTTACATGTGCTTCCAGTTTTGGGTATTAACTGCCTTGTAACCACCATTCAAATTTTCAATTACTTGTTTTGGAGTTTTTGTGTGCATATGGAGGCGGGTATGTATTTATGATATTCTTTTTTTTTTTACTTAACCACAGGATTTATTTACTAATATTTTGATTCCTAAAATTTAATAAGGGGAAGATCAAAGATTAATTTCTCCAATTTTAATATGCTATGACAGTATGACTGGTTATTGGATTGTATGTATGACACTTGCCACCAGTTCTGGTGTCTTCCTTTAACAACGGCCACTGGTTCTGTAGTCTAAAAGTACACACTTTTTTTTATATTGTATGCTATTCAACATTCTTATATGGATTCTTGCATCAAAGACCAGTACTTCATAAGTTCTGTGGTGGCATATTCTTTTATAATTCTTTGGCTCAAAGTTGATAACTCTATCACCAATAGTCTCTTCACTAATACATCCAACTCCTTCCTGTCTGTAAATAATCCTAACATTTGGATTTAGGTAGATGCTAAATCCCATGAATCCACAGGATCCCAAAACATTTGCTACATTTTTTAACCACTTGCCATTTAATTTTAACTTGAGTGCAGGTTGAATCATATTTGCGCATCATGGGAGAGCCTAAACTTCCCTCTGCATTTCTTCAAGTAGGTTATTAGAACTGCAAGCATTTATATAAAATTCTCATTCGCGATGAAGATATAGAGTAGTATATTATTTTTATCTTCCCTCCTTGTTATATCCCCCCACACAGAGAAATCACTAATCAATTTAATGAAGAATACCATATGATATTTAACATGTGGATTCACAGGTCATTTGTTGGGTATTGGGAGAATATGGCACTGCTGATGGAAAGTATTCTGCTGCGTATATAACGGGGAAAATATGTGATGTTGCAGAAGCACATTCGACGGATGACACTGTTAGGGTTTGTCATTCTTTCCTCTAATATGGGATCAAAGTTATGTTATGTGCAAGATGTATGCACATTTTTAATTAGGATATCTGTGAACTACTATTCAATTACAGATTGTTTTTCGGCCCATTGAGGCTGTAATTTTCTGCTTATTTTCAGGCCTATGCAATATCTGCACTCACAAAAATATATTCCTTTGAACTAGCAGCCGGAAGAAAAGTTGATATATTGCCTGAGGTAAGGTGTTTTTAATTGTGGGGTTAATGTTTACACCAAGTTAGAACCTTGAACATTTTAAGACGCCTTTCGATGCCCAAGTAACTAGAGATCTAAAGTAGTTAGCAACATCTATGATTTAACGATAAGATTAAGATTAAGTTCCACAAGGGGGTTGTTTCCTGAATCGAGATTAAGTTTCCAATCTTTTTATTACATGTCTTGATTAATAATATGGATTTCATTGCTCCAAGCTTCATCTGAAGACTATTTCCTTTCATACAGTGTCAATCATTCACAGAAGAATTATTAGCATCCCACTCAACAGATTTACAGCAACGTGCATATGAACTTCAAGCTGTCATTACTTTAGATCCTCGCGCACTTGAAAGTATAATGCCAATGGATGCAAGTTGTGAAGATGTTGAGGTAATGACCGCTATGACTTGTTTGCTACTTGTTTTGTAAAGAGGGTTGGACTTTGGACCAAGATAGTGAATAAAATAGACTGGAAAGAACTCAAAGAAGAGGAAGAAATGACTAGTCCGAGTGTTTTTTCGGGTGTTTGGATGGAAAGAAATAAAAGAAGAAAAAAACTTTTCTTGAAAATATAAATTTGCACTCTATGTAGGGAAAAGTGAGCAATTTGTAAATGATGATGGGTCCCATAAAATTTTCCCACACCTCTAAAACATATCTCTTCTCCCATGATGATATTACCACATATTGTTGTCTTTGAAATTTTGATTCCATGCATCTCGATTATGTCATACTGTTAATAAATGGTGTAGAGTTGCAGGTACCCTGTTCGTGTGTGTTTGAGTGCTAGTTGTTATGATGTTTAAGGCAACTATAAGTCTAATAAAAGGATTTTCCCATCATTTCCAATGAAGCCAAAGACTCACTATTTTTTGGCTTGAGAATATGATATGATGGAATAAAGCAAAATGGCTCACTAAACTGTTTGCGCCTCTTTGTTATGAAGCAATAGTCAGTTCATGCAATTTTCGACGCGATTTTCATCATGGGTCATCCGAAAACAGTTTCTCTGTGCTTTAGTACAACAGGGTAAGGCTGTGTACATTCGACCTCCTTACCCCACTGGGGTAATGTTGTTGTATAAGTCTAATATAAGGATAGATTAAACAATCTTTCATAATAGCACAATTAGGCTGCTCAAGTTTAAAAAGTGTGCAATCAAGCGCTATTGTACACACAAATTGTGTAACCATTCTATTTCTGGTTAATGGATTGTGTAAGCTTTCACATGGATGTTTTTTTATCATATTGCAAGTGACATAGTTTGAAATAAATTTTAATGAATTTACATTTATCCTGAGGAAGACTGAGCTTTTTCCAGAGTAGATCTGACATGAGCTTTACTGGACGAGAAGCCAAGTCATAGGGCAACAGAGACCTTTTGGCTTCTAGTGAGAAAAATTGTAAATCTTATTATGATTCCAATCCATTTCACTGTCAAGTATGATAAGAATTTCATATAAATGCTACACATCCTATTAACCCGATGAGATAAGCAAGGGTTTTTAATAACGGTAATAATTGCACAATTTCTGTGGGTGTGTGGCCTAATATACCAGGTTTGTGAAATTCAATTCTATTGAAGACTTGGTCTTTATGTTCAGAAAGTGCAAAATGGCAGGGAAAAGAAATTAATAAAGCGCCAAGAAAAATGGCATGCTGTTGGCTTTCCCTAGCATTTTTTCTGGTCCCACATGGACCCTTGGCACGATATTATATAATTCTCATTATGGCAGGTTGATAAGAGCCTTTCATTCCTTGATGCTTATGTTCAAGAGTCATTAGAAAGTGGCGCCCAACCCTACATCTCAGATGCTGAGCGTGCGGGAGTGATGAATGTTGCTTTTAAGAATCAACAAGACCACCAAAATGGAACTTATTCTTTGAGATTTGAAGCTTATGATCTTCCTAAACCCTCTTCCTACACATTACCCTCCTCCTCAACTGACCTTGTTCCCATACCCCCCCAACCTTCTCATCGTCATGCAGAAGCCGCTTTTGAAAAAACATCTGTTATTCACGATTCAGGAGGAATCAAGCTCCGCCTTGATGGTGTTCAAAGAAAGTGGGGTAGGCCCACCACTTACTCTTTATCAGATTCACCACCACCACCACCACCACCCTCTACTTCAAACTCTAGAGCACCGCCGCCCGTTGTGTCAAATGCTTTTGTTAATAACAATAAGAAGCAGCAGCAAGTGGTGGTTGATGTTGATCCACAAAAACAGAGACTTGCTGCTTCACTTTTCGGGGTTGGATCGAAAACTGAAACAAGGAAGAAGCACTCTTCTGCTACTGCTCATCATAACCATCACAAGACAGCTTCTAATAGCAGTGGTGAGTTAGTAAAACCAACCACCTCACTGCCACCACCCCCTGACTTACTTGACTTGGGCATGGAACCAGCTAGTGCACCACCGCCGTTGGATCCTTTCAAGCAATTGGAAGATCTTCTTGTTGATGATCTCAGAAAAGGAGATGTGACAACAACTTCAAGCTGGCATAATGACAGAAATGAGCATGGAGGAAGCATCATAAGAGAGACGAGCCAGGGAACAAAGAGTAGAGATGTTATAGAGAAGGATGCTCTTGTGAGGCAAATGGGAGTGATACCATCTACTCCAAATCCCAGTCTGTTCAGCAATCTGCTCGGGTAGGTGGATCATTTATTGACCCACCGCTGGTTTGAAGTTTCTTTCATTGGTTACCGCCCAATGTTAATGCTGCTGCATGGTATAATGGTGATGGTAGTTAGCCCGGGATTGTTTGTATCAGTTGATGCATGCGTGGTAGTTTAGTTGGTGTAGATAATGAGATGCCTGATAGAGAGAAATTAGAGGCACCTGAACTTTATATATGCGAGTCTTGTGTTTTTTCCCTTCTACGATAAGGCTCTAAAAGTATTTGAGATTCATAAGGGTTGGTTTTCTTGTTCATTCCCTTGTTTGACTTTCACTGTTCTTCGATATTGCTGGTGGGAATTGATTTTTTTACTGGGTATTTTTTTTTACTGTGTACTATCCTGAGATAATAAATTATTTATTGGTGCATGTGTTTGTTTGATAAACTGAGTTACATCTAAAATTGGGTGTGCTTACGTTCTGCAATTTTCATGTTTATTGTTGAATCAACTTTTGTTCATTAACATAATAACATGTTACAGATGCAATTTTATGGAACCAGCAGGAAGTTTAATTAGAAGAGTTTAATTAGAAGTGGGAATTATCATGATGCTATTTTTATATTTTACTTATTACTTCCTAATAGGAATAGAAGTATTAGAGGTTAAGGTTACTGTTAGATTAGAACTTCTATTAGGAATAGAAGTATTAGATGTTATAGTTTCTGTTACATTAGAACTCTATTATGTAAAGGCAGGATGCCTTTACATAATGTAGAACATGCCATAAAAATTTCATCAAAAAATGCCACCGGGAAGGCGGCCAAATGCCGCCGTCCGGACGGCGGTTCCTGTCCGGAATTCCGGACATGAACATTTGTGTGTGTATACATGCATACATACATAGGGGTGGACTCGGGCCGGGCCAACCGGCCCGGAACCGGACCAGCCCGCTACTGTGCGGGCCCAGACCGGCCCGGTCACCCGGTTCTTGACCGGTTCGGGCCACCCGGCCCGGTGGTATAGCGGTCCGGGCCCGGGCCTCCATTTTAGGGAACCGGCCCGGCCGGGCCGGGCCCGGTTCGGGCCTCCAACGGCCAACTTTTTAATTTTTTTTTTTTTTTTTTAATTTGAAGAGGCTCCTCCTAGCCGTTGGGAAGGCTCCCAAACGGCTCTATAGCCGTTGGGAGCATAGGAGGGGGGGTCTGGGGGGTTAGGGGGGTGGGGGGGTGGGGGTGGGGTATAAAAAAAATCTATTTAAACTCCTATTTTCTCTACATTTTTTACATCTCTTCTTCTACAACTCTTCCTACTCTCTAATTCTCTACTCTAAATCTCTCATATTCAATCATCTTCATTCTTCATCTTCTCCAAATTCTTTCTACATATATATAATTTATATAATTATTATATCTACTTATATATTAATTATCTATTTAAAAATATATACTTATACACATTCATATTATAATTCTTTACACATTATATATACTATATAAGTATATATACTATACACATTCATATTCACTTGATATTTAGTTATTATCCATACTATTGTTATTTACTTATATTTACATATTACATTTAGTTAATATATACTTATATATATATATATATATATATAGGGAACTCTTCCGGTAAGGTATACCTTACCGGAACCTCCGTGCGGCCTCCACGTTTTGAGGTCCTTCCCGGTGGAATTTTTCGATGAAATTTTTTGAGCATGTTCTTCATCAAGTCTAGTACATCCATACCAAATTTCAGCAAAAAATTCAATCGGGAAGGCAGTCAAATGATTTTTGGAAGATAACTGCACCCTTTATATACATATAAAACGCAGTTATCGTCCAAAAATCGTTTGACTGCCTTCCCGATTGAATTTTTTGCTGAAATTTGGTATGGATGTACTAGACTTGATGAAGAACATGCTCAAAAAATTTCATCGAAAAATTCCACCGGGAAGGCCCTCAAAACGTGGAGGCCGCACGGTGGCTCCGGTAAGGTATACCTTACCGGAAAGATTTCCTATATATATATATATATATATATATATATATATATATTAAAGTATTAAGTATAAGTGTATTACTCATCTTATAGTAATATACTTATATATTATATACTATAAACATTATATTATATATTACTTATAATAGTAGTTAATTGTTAGACTTCTAATTTATCTATTAAATTAGTTAATTGTTACATTTCTCTACATTTCTCTACATTTCTCTTTAAAGAAAAAAATAGTTAAAGTAGTATATTTTTACATTTGTCATATTTCAATTAGTTAAAGTACTTAATTGTTTCATTTGTCATATTAAAATTAGTTATTTCATACATTGCTCATTAAAGTAAAAAAAAAACTAGTTAAGTTTTACATTTGTCATAATAATATTAGTTAAACTACTTAATTGGTACATTTTTCATATTAATATTAGTTACTTGCTACATTTCTCATTAAAGTAAAAAAAGTAGTACATTTTTACATTTGTCATATTAATATTAGTTAAAGTATACATTTCTCATTAAGGTAAAAATAACTAGTAAATTTTTACATTTGTCATTTTAAAAACTACCTAAAGTAGTTAATTGTTAAATTTGTCATATTAATATTAGTTAAACTACCTAATTGTTACATTTCTCATATTAATATTAGTTAATTTGTACATTGCTCATTAAAGTAAAAAAAAAACTAGTTAATTTTTACATTTCTCATATTTATATTAGTCAAACTAGTTAATATTTAGTTAATTGATACATTTCTCATTAAAGTATTAATTAGAAGTAGTTCGATTTGTATACTCATATTTTAGTTCGAATTTGCAATAGTTTTCTTAGTCACATTTTATTATTACTATTGTACTCATATAAAATATTTGATATCATTTAATATTTGTTCAATTTTAAAGATGGAACGTGGTAGACATTCTGTAGATGTGGGTAATCTCCAACACAACCGCAAGAGGGAGATTGCGTCGACTCGTCCTAATTCACGCAAAGGCAAAGGTAAAGCGCGGGCCGAGTCTTCTTTTCAAAGTCGAGATGATTTTGAAACGGATTACCAACGGAGAGATGATATGATGATGTCCGACGAGCATCTACAAAACCTATTGTCCCAAAACGATCCACGCTTTGCACAAGAACAACCCATCCCGACAACCATTGATGAAGAGGAGCTCGAGGATGACGATGCGGAGGAGGACGCGGGGGGCGACGGGACTCACGGCACCCCGGATGATGAGCAAGACTTGGAGGACGAGGGCGGTTCAACCCAAACTGGTAAGAAATCTAAATCTCCTATTATTGAAAACAATTTTACAAAAAGGAAAGACAAAAATACCGAAAAATGGTACGCAAGTTGCAATCATTGCGGCAAAGAGTATAGCTTGGGAACTTCTGGCGGATACGGGAGTCTCACAAGGCATCTTAAGTCCGCCCATCTTGTGGAGTATGCGAAAATAGACAAGGGCAAGGGGAAGCAAACACAAATATCGAGGTTTGCAAATTCTCAACCCTTTGGTAATTTCTCCTATGATGATCAAAAACATTTGACTGGTATGTCTCATTTAATTGTTGAAGAAAATTTACCCTATATTTTTTCCGAAAGTCTTGCTTTAAGAGATTATGCTCAAGGCACTTTAAATCCTCAATTTAGAAATTATAGTCGCAAAACGATTAAAAAAGAAGTTATGAGGCAATATAACTTCGAAAAAGAAAATTTACAAACATTTTTCGCAAACTTTAATGGACGTGTTAGTATTTGTAGCGATATATGGGAGAATACTTATCATCATTTATATTATTTGGGTCTTACTGCACATTATATTGATGATGATTGGAATATGCATAAACGTGTTCTTGCTTTTCGTGAATTCAATGATCGTCATACTGCTGATAATATTTATATTCTCATTGAGCGTATTTTAATTGAGTATAATTTGCTTGATAAGGTGTTTGCTGTAGGTTTTGATAATGCTAGTAATAATACTGCTGCTATACCTAGATTGCGTGAATTGTGTGGTGCTTCTACATTGATGGGTAGGTTTTTTCATCAACGTTGTGCATGTCATATTCTAAATTTGTGTGTACAAGATGGATTAGCGGCATTAGGACATGCTTTGGAGGTGTAGTGAAGGGGGGAATTAAATTGATTTGGGCTAACACTCCACTAAAAATGCAATGGTGGCAATATTTGAAGGAAAGACGTGTCAATTATTGTGCTTTTCCTAAAGATTTGTCTATTCGTTGGAATAGTACTTATAACTTAATTCAAGTACTTATTAGATATAAAGATCATTTTCCTGCTTTTTTAAGACAAACTTGTAACTATATTATAAACCCAGCTGACATCGACACTTGTGAAAAAATTGTTAATGTTTTGGTATATTTTAATAACGCAACTCAAACTTTTAGTCATGTTTATAAACCTACCGCAAACGAATTTTTTGTTGAAGCTGTTAATCTCGCCGGCGCATTTTTAGAATTTTCCGATGCCGCTTACGTTAGTTATTTTTGTGATTTCATGAAACAAAAATTTTTAAAATATTATTCACATGTTCCGCATATATATGGTATTGCATTTGTTCTTGATCCTCGTTATAGACTTGCCGCGTTGCCAAGTTGTATAGATTACTATTATAATTGTTTTTTTCCAACTCAAGAGTTCGATGATAATCCCATCGACCCTAAACAAGAATACAACGAGGTTAGTAATTTATTTCATCAATTGTATAATGAATTTTATGCACAATATGGTAATGCACCCCCTCCCATGCCGCGAACATCTTCTTCATCTAAAGGAAAATCACTTTTAAAATCTGCATTTGGTTCTCTTATGAAAAAAAGTAGAGCAACTCCCGCTACTGAACAAAGCCCAGTTAACGAGCTTTCTATCTATCTAACATTGAATGTTGATTATGAAGTTGGGGATGATTTTGACGTTCTTAAGTGGTGGAAGGACAATGAAAGAACGTTCCCGGTTTTATCAAAACTGGCTAAGCAAGTGCTAGCAATGCCGATATCAACAGTTGCCGTGGAACAAGAATTTAGTGCGGCCGGCAACGTCCTAACCGATTATAGAACGAGGTTGAGCCCGAGCTCTCTTGAGACGCTAGTTTGCTTCCATGATTGGTTGAAGGCCAAACGAAGAACTCAAGAAATGACCATCGCTCCCACCCGCCACTTTATGGAGGAAACAACCACCGAAGGCGGAGATTCCGATTGATTTTTTATTTCAAAATGTATTACATTTCTTAAATGCATCCTAATTCTCAATTGTACTTCTTATTTGAAATAAAAATACTTGAATTATTTTATATTATTGTGTACATCAATTCAATAATTCAATTCAATAAAATTAATTTGTAAACTTGTACTTCATATGTAGCACTTCTCAAATTAATTAATTGGTTACAAACTTATAACTTACAACTTGAATTTTTTTTTGTAAAATGTAAAGGCTGTTTTTAAATT